ACACCTGCTCCTGTCCTCTCTATACAAAATTACAAATCAATATCTCTTTCTTTACGCAAATAATGTTGTAAAACACGATTTTGATTCAATTTACCTTAATACTGTCCAAAAAACCTTGCAATTCACGAGATCTTTTAACATCCACATTTTTTTCTCTGATACATGCGTCCAGACACCACGTAAACTTATGACATGGATCTACAGAAATAATATCTTGCACCTGCCAACAAATAGCACACTCAATAAAACTGAAGCGATGCAAATTAAATTATATATCAAATTATGCTAGAATGTTGCATAACACACCATGTAGAAATGATGGACTTATAATTGTCTTGGGTTCGATTGCTCCTACATACAGATTTCAATCTTCAAACAATAACAATAAAAAAAACAATTTTTATTCTCCTCCAGAATAAAAATTAAATTAGATTAAAAACTTCTTTACTGGAGAGAGATTTACAACTTCTTTTCACAAAAATTATAATTGTAATACAATTTGAAAACTTTGATATCTCTCGAGCTGATAAAATAAAATAAACAAACATGTTGAATATATTTACCTCTAAATCATGTAATGCCATTAACAGTTCTGCTCTGAGAGTACAGTAGTGGATATTCTTTGTGCGTAAAAACAAAGTCCTTAAAAACTGCAGTACCATATCATACAATTTTACACTATGTCCAATCATATGAGCTAACTTCTGTACAACTTCGCCTTGTCTCCTCACCTATGCAAAATGAGAGAATTATACAATGCTAATTCAAGTACAACCAATTATAATATACCTTTGGAGATGGCATAAAAAATAGACTGTTCAAATTGCGATGATCAAATAGAATCTGTTCTTTCTCGATGATATAACGACTGAACAACGGTGAGACTTCATCACCAAAAAGACTTTGATTATCCTTCCATATCTGACGTTTTACTTCTGTATCGGCGTCATTGTATAATTCTCTTTCTCTAACTAACACTCGCAAGTATTTGTCATCAATGTGTAAGGTATTCTTTAGAATGCACATAACAACAGGTCGCAAAGCGTTGACTCTAACAGCAGGAAAACTTTTCGATAACAATTCCTTCATTCTCTTGTCTCCAGAGGAACCTTTATCTGTCCTTTCCACACCGATCTCATCAATTTGTTTGATCAGTTTCTCTCGCAGCTCCTCGAGAACGGAAGCATGAAAATCTAACCTTCTGACTCCATGCAGATCAAGTAGAGGTAACATAGGTCGTAATGATGGTAGTAATATGCCATTTTCTAGCTGAAATAAAATATTATTGCTATGCTGTATATTTACTAACTTATATGCTATACTCGATAAGTGATGCAGTTGTTCTTTTACCTGAAATCCCTCGATAGCTTTCAATGGATCTGTACAACTTGTTAAAGCGTCTCTCAAATACACTTGTCCTGGTATACCAAGATCCTCCAGTCCGTTGCCAGTCTCACCGTTACTCTTCGCCGAATTCATGACTCCGTTTTATTACACAGTATAAAATACTACGTCCACTTGGACGTCACTAAAATACTCGTCGACTCGATTATGTACTTATGTTGTATCGTTAGATTGAAATCTATTATTTTCTTACAGGATAAATTTTATAATTCAAACTCGTTACTTGCTATTGACAGTAATAAATAAATTGCTTAATATTTTTCTCACACTATCAATCCAAACTTGAGAATACTCGAATTACTCTAAAACCTACTTGGCCATGTGACTATCCGTAAACTAACTAAAGTGCCGTAAACTAACTAAAGGTGCATTCACATAGAAGCGTCAAGTAGCAGAAACAGCAACCAATCAACAAGGCGATTTTTATAGTGGCGTAAAAAATATTTTATACACTATTGCTCAGTTGATTGGTTGCTGCTTCTACTGCTTGACGCTTGCATATAAATGCACCTTAACAGATCTGTGGCTAACCAACACTTTTGGAACTTAAAATGAAATAGATATATGTTTGATATTTGTCGAAAGCGTGAAAAGCTGGTTTTACATTAGTTGCAAGTTGATCGTAAGTTTATTGCGACAGCCAATATGAAGCGTTGATTTCAAAATGCAAAATGCAAATGCTTCAATCGGTTAAAGAAAATTCTATACTTTGGCTGCGTTCCAAAATTTACTACCATTATTGAAACTCTATAGTGCACGTAACGTAAACTATAGATTTTCAATACTGGTCTAGAAAACAGACTAAATGGCTCCTGGTTACGTTCAGCGGTTACACTCGACAGTTGAGTGAGCACTCGCTGCAATTGATGTATTCTTCCAGATCTAAAATGCTGATTGGATGATCTAAAAAAATACACTAATAACGCTCACTCAACAGTTGAGTCCACTTAACGTAGCCGATGATTGGTCGTGTTTAGCAACCAACTATTATGGATCCATGAGTATTTGCTACTATTGGTGTATTCTTTTAGATTATCCAATAGCAGCGTCTTCTTAGCGCCAAGACACTATGTCTCTGAATAAAAAAAGTATGCCTCTCAACAAGCGACACAAATGATATAATGGATCATTATGTCCTTGTTGTTTGCCAATGTTAAACAAAGATGATATGATCACTTTTTGTAGAATAAATATTATACGTATATACTTGTTATTTGAAAATATTTTTGTTTTTATCTATATATGAATGCTTATTAAATAAAAATATTGTTTCTTTTAGAAATATATGTGTGTATGTGTGTGTGTGTATGGGGATGTGTGTGTGTATTATACTTAATTATTGTATATAATAAAAATAATCTTTATAGACAAATATTTTACGCACGCATACACGCACGCATATTATAGTATATGTGTATATATGTATGATATTCCATACAGCACAGAAGATTGCTGCAATGTTGCAATATTACAGATTGCAATATAACATTGCAGAGGTATTACAGAAATGTAAATTAATAATATCCTTAATGTCAATAATATATTTGTAATATTCCACAAACATTGCAAAACTGTAATTCTTTAATTGTTACAATAATAATAATATAAAAATATAAGTTTTTACAATATTTATGTAGTACAGTCTTTTAGTTTAACAGTCGTTTTTATGATATAATAATTAATATAATTCATTTTATATTTAAATAAAAAATTTATTGATCTATTATTTGACGGCCATTTCATTAGCTAAGTTTTATATTTATTTTAAATATGAAAATATCAAAAGATTGTATAATATCGAGATTGGATACAATCAATGCATCATTATCGGATAAGATGATAAGCAATTAAACTGCTGACGATTTATTAATCGAAATATGAATTATGTAATCGATGATGTATACCTGATGTGAACGCAAGAATAAACCAGCGCCATACATATATAATATTGTATATATATAAATCATAAAAATATATAGGCCGATATTCATAGTCGGATCTTATTCAAGACCGTCTAAGTATAGTCTTAAAAAGTCACGAACCAATTAAACGATATTGACGTCTTAAGACATTATTTAATTAAGATAGTCTTGAAATAAGAACGAACTATGAATATTGCCCATAGTATATATGTATACACCAAATATTTGTTTTACAAAAATAATTATATAAAAATTACATTTAAAAGCAATTAAAATTTTCTGTATATATTTCTTATATATTTTATATACATACATACATGTATATATATATAAATATATAAGTCATAATAGAACTTCTTTTCTTTTCTCTTTTCATATATTTTCTTAACAATTAGTTATATACATATGCGTATACACACATAAAAGTAAAGATTATTTCTATATAATAAAAAACTTTATAAAATAAATATTATTTTTATTTAATTTCTTCTTTCTTATTATATGTATTACTTATTATATATTTTCTATAAGTTTGTTATAATGTGTGACAGCATTTTTATTTATTTTTATGATTCTCTCTCTCTCTCTCTCTCTCTCTCTCTCTCTCAGGCAGGTCGTTGCCTGCGTGAAATCAGGCTAGGGCGGTAAAGGTGAAAGGTCAAAGGCAACGGGCTAGCACAGATATCGACTCGGGTGAGATCGAGAAGGCGAGGTAACCGGGTTACAGCCTGGGTGGCGGATAGGCACCCTCCAAAGCGGGTTGCCCTAGAATTCGACTTCGGCGTTTTCGCACACGCGCGTCGTTCAACAACACCCCCTCGCCTTTATATCACTTGCGAGGGTTATAAAATAAGAATAAATATGTAAATTGCTCTTCTCTTCTGTATAAATGCAAAGCACGATTTATTATCGCTGGTATAATATTTTTTATCCTAACACACAACTAATAATCTCTTCTTTTTAGTTTATAAGAGTGATATTTTGTAATATTATATCCCTCGATCTGCAATCCAAATAGAAACATATACACAAAATTTCTTTATATAAATTCCTTTCTTTTATATGAATTATCTCTTGATAATTATCATTGATCTTGGATCAATTGAATTTTTTTTTACAATCATGTCAGATCATGTTTCCTTTTCTTTTTTTTTGCGAATGCGACACTTCCGTGTGAATGCGGTGAAAGTGACAGGTCAGCTGCTGTTATGTTCGCATCCCCGCCTAGATTCAACCCTGCGCGAGGTCTCTACTGCGCGCGCGGTTGCTGATGATAGAAGGGATGAAGTGAAGGAAGAAAGAGAGAGAAAAACGGAGAAATAGAAAGGAAGAGAGAGCGAGAAAAGGAGAAAGAGGGTAGAGGCGCATGCAGTGCGGCTGTCTGCGGCTGCTCGTGACTCGTCCGTCAGTCGGTAGTCGTGGGTGGTCGCACGCACGCTCGGGGGTGACGGGTGCGTCTACATTCGCGAGGAGGGCGATGGAGATTTCGTGCGCCTTGCTGGCGATCGAGTGAGACGCGCCATTCGTTGAACCGTGTCACGTCGTCGTCGTCGTCGTTGTCCGTATACCAAATCGTTCGTGATAAGAGTGGTACGAATGGACAAGGGCAGCGCATAAAAGAAGGAACCCTCGCGAGCGCAACGGGGTGACAAAATGTCGATGTATCACTGTTTATTGTGAACGAGTCGAAGAAACGAGGCAGAAAGGCAAAGGGAGAGAGACAAACAGAGAAAGAGAGTAAATAAGAGGGTTGATCACAGTTGCGATATCTCTCTCTCTCTCTCTTTCTCTCTCTCGGATTGTTGGTACGCGCAGTCGTTTTTGATGTTGTTGGCTGGCTTGATGCCTGTTTCTTCTTTTTTGTTTGCTATATATTTATTGCTGTTGCTGCCGCCGTTCGCTGCTGCAGCGGTCATTTGCGACCGAATTAAAAAAAGAGAGAAAAAGATGTACTCCAGCATAGCCTTTTTGTTGTCTCGTTGTTATCGTCGTCGTCTTCGTTGTCCTTAGATTCCTCCAATATATTCATCCTTAAAAGAAAAAAAAGAATTTTCATTGCTGTCGTGAGAGAATGAGAGTTACATGATGTACCCGAGGGCCACCAGCCAGCCTGTAATTTCCTATTTATCACAAGTAGATGATACTATTCTTCTCTTCTTCTTGGTGCCTCTTGCGTGTCGCGTTCGCCATGATCTACTTTGGTACAACAATTATCCGAGGACCATTACGTCGAATATTTCCCTGTCTATATCTTCATGCACGCACATATCCGTTGCCTATGCATGCCGTTCTTATCCGTTAGATACCAACGACTAACTATCCAACTCACTCGTCATGCATTTTTAACTGCTGCACTGTGGACAACGATTCCGAATCTTCGGGTATAAGCAGCTGATTTCCAATGTGAATAATTTGTGTTCTGTTTCATCAAGATTAGTAACTTCAACCGCTATTATTTATGCAGCACTGAAATTCAAGAGAAAGACAGAAGAAAATAAAAAGGGAGGACTGTGTTCATTAATTATTTGCCGCTTTCTATAATCTTTGTAGAAGGGGAGAGATAATTAATCGCATTGTCTCGTCAGTCTGAATTAAAATAGAGTTAATACAATAATTATTAACTCTATTTTCTCCCTTTTCTTTTTTTAAACCGTTTAGAATGTTAGAAATTCTACATTAAAATTATTAGTATAAAATCAATTAATTTAGATTGTACAATCGAACTATATTAGATTCATTAACTTCAAAGATTTTAATAGATTGAAAAAATTAAAAATTCAAACAATTAGTGCCTTTTCAGTGATTGTATCAATATCGATTAATTATTTAATTCATTTAGAATGATAATATAGTCGGTTTTTTATTTAAAAAAGATTTATTTCTAGAGACGAAAAAATTATTCAATTACTTTTAGAACTATAGTCATTGCTGAGATCAATCATAAAAGATCGCAGTAATCAATAAAAAGAAATTCGCGCATTTTGCACGTGGCCTGCAATTTGTTTCACTATTCACTATTCTTTTCTCATTGCTTTTTCTTCGCAATAAGCGCTTGCAGCGTGTAATCACTAATCAAGCACTTTTTATATAAATGTGTTTATGTAAATATGCATAAAGTAGAAACTGCTTTCAATACTATTTTTGAATATTGTAAATAATAGTGTAATATGACAATTATGAATTATCACAATGCTTAAAGAATATTATAAATGTCTCTCGTATACATAAATCGATTAAAATTAAATCTTAAATAAATCAAATTTTTTTTTGTATAAATCAATCAGTTCATGTTGACAGGGTTGTTAGTGAAAAAAAAAAAATTTCCCGGTCACTTTTTGAAAAAATTCCCTGACTAAAACTTGGAAGATTCTTTGAATAAAAATAAACAAAAAATTAAAATATTTTATTTTACAAACAATAAAATTATTAGTGCAATAAAATATAATGGAAAATAAGCATAACATAAAATTTTTCATAATATTTATAGTAGCACATTATAACCTCACTTTGTTAATATACACACGGGGACATAAATAACTACCGATTCAAAGTTGCATGTGTGTCGGAGATCAGAAAGCATAAGAAAAAATGAGAAGGTGTGAAAAATAATAAGAAGACTTGAAAAGGCATGAGAAGACATTTGTGTACGCCTTATACTCTTGTCATGTATTAGGTTAGGTATATATATCTTATATCGGATATTACGTGTACTTTTGTTTAAAAAGGTCACGATTATAATACAAACAATAAATCAAAGAATTATTTAACTTAAACAACAAGTTGCAAATAATAATACAACATAATACGACTTACAATGAGTGTGTTGCAAACGTCAAACACTTGGACGTCCGAATGAAAATCTGTTAATATGATCGTTGTGCAACTAATTATTTTATACAACTTGTAATTAATTTTATACACAACACGAATGATGTGACTAGCATTTTTCTTCGATGCTGTGCGCGATACTAACGTGATATCGCCGGCATTTGTCTGATAGCTTTGCTTGTGATACCAACGTGATGTCACTAGATGATACAGGCTACGTTTCACTTAACGCTCACACGCTCGTAGAATTGTTTCATCCTTGTCATTCATCAGATGTTAAACAAGGACAAACGATGTTTGCGAGCATTGCGAGCGTTAAGTAGAACGCAGGCATAGTGTTAAGTGGAATGTATGACTATTGATACGCAATGAATTAAAAAACAAATGACTTACGGGAATTAGCGGATTATATCTTTGTTTTAGACATTGCTTATTGAGATTTAATCATTTCATTAAAATATTGTATGTTCTAATTATCACTTTAATTTTAATTAGAAATGATTTACGAAATATTCATCACACACATATTAATACATACATATTTTGACTTTTTGCAAAGTTAAATTTTTTTCTTTTTAACAACGTCCGTTAATGGTTTTCTGCAAATTGTTCATTGCAAAATTAAAAATAAAAAAAATATTTGCATTGTTTCTTTAAAAAATTTTTTTAATTCTGTCATAATTTTTAAAGAAGTAAAGTTTAAACTTAGAATTTTACAATAATTTAATTTTATTTTAGGTTAATAAATTCCTTGATAATAATTTCCCTAAACACTTTTTAATTTCTCTAACTTTCCCTGATCGCTAACAACCCATCTAAATTGATTTATCTTAAGAATAAATCAATAATGTACATGTATATTTTATCAAAATCAAATTTAAGAAATAATTTTTCGAAAGCATTAAATTGCTCCGTAGGATTGTCATTTATTAATGCAAACTGAGTTTTTAAATATTTTAAATTATTTTCGCATGTAATATAATTTATATGTGTATAAAAAATATTACATACTTACAATTATTCTATTATATTTACTTAAATTTAGTTAAAAGAATATCATTAATTTATGCAATATTATTTCACTATTCCAAAATTATACTAAATAAAATTTATTTAAGGTGTTCTCAATTTAAAAAAATTATTTCTTAAATAAACATAATTATGTACATAGAATTTTCTTGTGTTATGCTAGAATGTAGTTATTGTAGATGTGGCAATTAAATGTAAATTAAACATAAAACACATACATACACACATAACTTTACATTTGTTATTCAGCGAACGCATAACTGAAATATTCTAAATAGCATTTTATACGAAAATTATATTAATTACTAATTAAATAATTAATAATTTTGTTCAAATCAAGAAAAAAAAACATCAGATCAATTTTAATCAGATTATATTTGGCAGATTAATTTTTTAATTTTATCTTAAAACTGAATTAAATAATATATTGAAAAAATACAAAATTAAAAAAACTGTGCAACATTGTGTAAGAATGTGATAGTAATTGATTACATAATATTTGTATTAATATATAATTCTTGAATTTTTGACCTAATTTCTACAATTTTTTGCTTCCTTTTTTTCATTTAAGACTTAAGTATTTATTTCGCTTTAAGTACAAAAGAAAGTACAAAATTAGTAATGATAATTAAAAAGAATAGATCTGTATGTATATATATATATATATATATATCACTTGATTAGAGTTTTAGAAATTGATTAAAAGGAAATAAATATTTTTCTTTCGGAATTAATTACGTATACGTGAAACAGATGGTATAACTTATATCATACGTGCGTACACGAATCACTAAGCTAATAATGCGTTACGTGTTCGCCGATTAGTGAAGATTTAATCCAAGGCAAGATGAATCGCTTTTAATCGTGCTTGCCGCGTAGTGATTTAGAGACTTAGACCGTAATGACGGGCGCCAAAGACGGGCGGAGCTCCGTCACATTTCTTGCCTTTCCAGAGGGGCAAGGAAAAGAGTGAGACAACATATACCATGGCAAGGACTGATCATCAACCGATAATGCGACGTAATTCGTAACGGGAACGGGGGGCTGCCCCGAATACGGAGTCGCCTTGAGACGGCAAGTGAAGAAGCGACCCGGTAACCCGCGGAGAGATGTATGCCGCGGCGGGTGGTGCGAGTATCGCCAATCGGAGGAAGCAGAAACGGCTGCAGCTCAACAAGCAGGTGCCGGTCAATGTCGTTCCATCAAGACTGAAGACCGGCTTACCGCCTGGCCCGCGTCATCAGCAACACTACCAGCATCACCAGCATCAGCACCAGCACCAACACCAGCATCAGCATCAGCATCATCACCAGTATCATCAGCACCACCACCATCACCACCATCACCCGACCAAGCTCGCCGCCTGTCCGCATCAAGTCGCATCAGCACAGCAAGCCCCGCGAGCGCAAAACCAGGCACCGACGTCGACGTCATCGTCGTCCGCCGCATTCCACCCGGTCATCGACGATCGGCGCCGTCACACCGACCGTCACAAGTCCCAGCAGGTCGCCCCAGTCTCGCCGATCCAATTCCCGATCTCACCACCCCCGCTCTCCCTCGAATCCTCGGCATCCGCCACCACCTTCCCGGCCAACAAGTCCAGCAACTTTCCCTTCCCGCCACCCTCAATCCTCGATCTCCGAGTTTCGCCTCCTACTTCGGAGCTACAGGTGGGTAACATCATCGGGTACTCTCTCCTTATCACCAGCCTCTTTCGGGCTCACGCTGTTCTTTTAGCCGCTCTCTGTCTCTCTCTCTCTGTCTCTCTATATATATCTCGCTCAAGTCACCATTACTATCTTCCACTTTACATTCATGCGTACTTATTACAGAAATCATGCAAAGCGAGATAAATTGCGCCCTCCGCAATGTGCGCATTGGGCAGAGAAAATTATTGAGTATTCAGTTTGTTGTTGCAAATAATATAATAAAAAATGATATATTTTATATAGAAATCGTTTGCGTATTTATACAATATTTGTTTGCATTATTTTTGCAGTATTATATTTCCTTATTCTTAAGTCTATGGATTACATTATTATATTATTAAAGGATAATAGACACAAGCATTTCTTTATCGCCACAAATTTTGGGAAAAGAATATTTATTTTAATTTTTCAACTTCAATTCTATGTCGTGTCTAAACACACAACTGACCGAAAATTCGATCACTTTATACCGTCATCTCTGCCAAGTGCAATCATTGAATTAGATTAACGAGAAATTGTCAGCTCACTTCTCTATCGCTTTAACGCGACTCACCCTCACTCAATGCGTATATGCTCCCTCTGATTGCACCACATCTCTTTTGCCGGCACCTCGTACAACGTTATATAGTAAATAGCATCGATCGGCTGTCTGGTGGCGTATTACACGCGATAAACCCGTCGAGAGCAGCGTAAGAGAGGCGACAGATTCTCCATGCCCGAATATCTCCCAAGCCCCCAAATTGGCTAAAGGCTCGTAATATAATTTCAGTATAGCGTGAAACATGCTTCCCACGATTATCATCGACGAGAACGAGCAGCGATCGATGCCGATGGCGGGTAGCGCAACATTAGATCGGTATCGATCGCTGATGGAGCTTTGAGGTGGACTGGTCTCTTCGCATCGTATCGGGGGAAAGGAAAGAATAAGAAAAGAGAAAGAGAAAAAAAAACTGGGCAATCAGGGGGCTGAGATCTCAATCGATAGTATATACAAATGAACGAGCGGGATGCAGGCTGCTCTATTAATTAGACGAGATAGACGAGATAGACAGCGATTACGGGGGGGTAAGATTGGTAGAGAATTACCTTCCAATTTTGCCACCAGACTCATTCCACCGCTACCACGGTATCCCCCACGATCTTACGTATACGGGGTAAGTATCAAGAGTTCACGGTTGTCGAAAAAGCGAACTTGATCCCGTCGCATAAATTCTATAAATTAGGATCGCGCAATTCTTCTGAGTACCAACACCTAGAACCGAGCTCGTTAGGAATAAGGTTTGACGTAAAAGTTTTACGAAATCGTGTACGCGCATACCTCATTGATCAATATTTCTTCGGGCCGATTATGACGAAATCAATCAAGCAATCATGAAGCAAAGAACATATCAATTGCTCAGATAGATCATATATATTCCTGTATCATCCACTGAAATAATTTAATACTCTCTTCATTCATGTAAAGTTCACGTCAATGTTCAAAGGAGCTATAAAAGGGATGAAGGATTTTATATTGTGTCTATTGCTTATCTAGAACGCTGTGAACTTCTCACAGAATTTTCTTGCAGAATATAGAGTAGTTATGAGATATAATAAATTAAAGATGATCAATTAAAAGAATGTATGATTCAATAGAGAGTACTTACATTTTAACGGAAGATCATGTGATTCATTAGCCTCAACAATTATTTATAACAATATGTCTGAGAGTTACGTATTTCAGTGCGGCGGTCAGGGACCTGGCGGCAAGGCGGCATGGCAAGGATGCAGCAGACCTTCGCCCCTTCCTTTATCTCCCACATCGCCTGGATACAGAACAAAGCAATGCGAAGCACATCGACGATGGATGAAAAGAAACAGGGTAATTTTTTCAGACACTGATACAATGTTAAAGAAAAAAGAGAGATGAAAGAAGGAGGATGAAGGAAGTTTAATATTGCCCACTTTTAGCAGAATGTTTATTTTGTAACTATTAAAAGTTTCCTTTTTGCGTTGGCTGGATTATACCTTTAAATCTAGAAGAAAAAAATCTTAAAAATGTTAAAACCTTCAAGGAGTAAAAATTTTAATGCTTGAAACTAGAAATTGTAAAAAATTTACATAAAAATATTATTAGGCATCAAGATCTGTATTGGTCCAAAACTCGCTTTTATCAAACATGGTTTTCTTCAGTAAAAAATGTAAAAAAGCTCATCAGAGCCTACATCAGCTGTTCAAATGCACAGAAAATTCTTTATTTTCGTGTAAATGTAACAAAACGAATCCATTTTTCACTGATAGATTCTTTCGAGCCTTATTTTATATATTGGTTTTCTTCATTCATTTGTGTTGAACATTTCTCGATCCATTTTTACTTAATAGAAAATTTAATGTTAAAATTTAAGAAATCCTGTCTCAGTGAAGAAAATTTCCAACAGTTGCAGAATAAGCATTCTGCTGAATGTGGACATTTAGAGAAAATAAAAATGATATAAGAAATCATGTACTTCAGATAAGAGACGCCAGTTACTGCTACGGAAGCAGCGGCGAGGACGACGACGAAGATGACAGCAGTAACGCCATTCACCAGCGAGGCGAGGTCAGCGCGGCGGTGAACACCGTGCTCTACGTCGGTTTGGGGACCACCGCGCTCGGTTTAGTTATCTCATTCGTCGGTACCGGAGAGAAGGGTTTCCTGAGCCCGCAGCTGAGGCTGGTCGGCCCGTCGTTACTGTGCGCCGGTTTGCTGTGCTGTCTGTTCCGCGTGTTGCTGTGCCTCTGTCTATGTCATTGTGGTCAGTGTCGTTGGCGATTCTGTCAAGTCTCTTCGCACAAGGAGAAAGCGAGGAAAGCGGACACGCAACCGGGACCGGGAACGTTATCGACCGCTTCGCTGTTGCCGCCGTCGATGCATCAGGAACGGGAACGTCCAGTCGCGCCCACGAGCCGCTCCGTGTCGCCGGCGACGAAGGGACACGAGCTCCTGCTTTCACCTGCCCAATTACCGGAGTAAAGGACAACGTGATTCGCGCGCCCACGAACATTTTCTACGAATGAATTCTATATACCATACGCCGATTTACTGCCGGTTCACGCCCGATTGCTCGATCTTAGTTTCCGTTACGGCCTGAACCGCGAAATTTCGCAGCCTAAAAAAGTAGCCTAAATGCGTCTTAGAGCTTAAACTTAAACAATAGAAGAATAAAAGAATCGGCTATGTTTTTTTATCCTTGTTGTTTTCGAAAAAGTAAAGGAAAATCTACGTTGAAACCGGTCTCGTTCGCGAAGCCTCTTGGTTTATTTACGCTCACGCTTACAAGCTTCTTTACAAAGATTAAAGTTATTTTGTCTCTGATACTTTATCTGAACCAAATCTTATTATAATCATGGATCTTAATGTTAAAACTTAAGATACTTTGCTACGCTTATTGCTAGGCAAATACCGTTCTTCTTTTCCACATGATTGGATCTGTATGTTATCATCTTCATGCCCATATTTCACAGATCACAGTGTGTCTCTGAACAAATACGATAAATACTTATATCAATATCACTTTAACTCCTAATAATCAGGAAAGTTGAAACTGCATCTGCTCGTTCGACGAATAACTGTAGATGACAGACGAGTCGGAAGTGCTCACGCTGGACGCCGTCGCGGTGATAGCGAACAATTGATCCTCGTACATGCTCTGCGGCTCTGTTTTTCCATTGCCAGTGGCTGTTGCGTTGGGCGGGTTGTCACCTTTTGTTGCTTCACGATATTTTTGCAGGTACACTTTCAGAGGCTCGACGTAATTATCAAAGCCGAGCGTAGTCATGGCAAACAGAATGTCTTCACCATTGATAGTTTTGCGCTTCTCCATGTGACACCTGTCGCTCGCTTCCGAAGTGATGAAGGAGATAAATTCTGACACGCACTCCTGAACACATTCACGCGCATCTTTGGCAATCTTTCCGGACTCTGGAATGGCTCTCTTCATGATTTTGGCCACGTTTGCTATCGGCAAGAAGCGATCCTGCTCGCGAAGTGGCCCACCGCCAGTGGAAACTCCAGGGCTCTGCAAAGGATCCCCCGCGCCATGATTCGAGTCGTCCGTGTTCTCGGGATCATCTGTTTAAAAAAAAAGCATTTGTTAAGATTTATACATTGTCTTACTATCCAAGAGATTTGACTTGTAATCTGGTCCGCGATGACTTACAAAGGAGTTACCATGTAAATATACTATCTAAATACAAGTATCAATCTTTTCGTAAGTACTTAGAATTGATATGTTCCCATACCTTTGTATTTCAATGATACAGTCTATGTAAAAGTTCAAGATAGCAGGTATGTGCTCTCTTGGCAAATATTTATTATGCTTCATATCTCTAAGATGATCAGATAGATAAAAATCATATGCCGACTGTAAAAAATTTAGTAATAAGAATATAAGGTCTGTGTTTTGTAACTAAAAATAATGTGATAAAAGCGAGAAGAAAAGTTCTAATGCAGTCCAGTGCAATAATAACAAATAAATTTAAAATCAAACTGAAGAGTAAACACACTACAGTTTAATAAATTATTATAAGAATCAGATTCTATAAATCCAAAACGATCAGAGGTCTTTAAGATAACTGATGGACGAAAATCATTCATTGAAAGTGAAAAATTTAGTTAAACACAAAACGACACTGATCAAGATGTACGAAGGGCCAATTGAAGTATAAATACAATGTGGTCCGAGTACATAGCCACATACTTGTATCTCTTTTCTAACCAGAAAAGCCTGATCTAACTCAACGTAAACTCACTGATACAAAATAGGACCTAAATAATATTCAGTAAACTCTCGAACATCTCAACTACTTTATCATTCTCGAATTGGCTATCGGAACTCGGGAGGAAAACGCTAACCTACCTTCCATGTCATCTGATTGTACGCCAATGTAGGATCCCGCAACGGTATTTCCACCCAGAAATGTCGATCCTAGAGGGCCATCATCGCCGCTTTCGCCACTGTTTTCCATCTTCGGTAAAATCCGCACGTGAAACAGATCGAACAATTCAGGCTCCTTTAACCTTTTCCAACCTTTGTTTTTATGTTGTTATAAAAGTTGATTAAGCCAGTGGCTGCGGATATAATAAGTACGTGTGTATAAATGTATGTATGTACTGATGCACACAGCAAAAGCAATTACGATTCGTGATTGTGAAAGCGTCTAGAAGCGTCTCGTTGAATCACTTTGACCATTTTGACCAACCTTAACTACGTTGAGATCGATCGCAGCCACTCGCAGTGACTGCCATTTGGAATTTTTTCACTGGACCGACCAATCAGAGAGGCCTGTGATGAATATAGCCAATTGGCGACGAGCTATAGCCTTCTGGAAGCGGCTCTAGGAACTTTGCTCTTGTAAATTATGGAAGTTACGCTTTGCGAATGCGCGTCACGTTCAAATACTAATTTCAACCGTGTCTGAAGATTTGAAATTTTAGGGGCTCCGCACAATAAAAGGAAATTGTGTATTCCACAATACATGATTTCTGATAGGTTGAAATTCTTATTCTCTGTTCTCTATTCCTTTTATTGCGGAGCTCCTTACTTTTCTTTTTTCACTAAAACTACCGATGATTCAATTTAGGAATTCATGGTGGAAGAAATCAATATTAAAGACTCATTGAGCGCTTCGGTTTTCTCTGTGACGTAGACATTACTTACGAAAGTTAAGCAGGGACATCTATAACAGTGTGGTTGATGTGGAGTATTCCATACTTGAAATTTTTTCATGTGTGAAATTCCACACTTCGAAATTCGAATTTTTTGATGAAATATGAAATTTTATTTTTTGATAAATAAAATAATTTATTATTTAATATTTTATTAAAAATGAAAATTGATTAAATTATATATAAAAAGTCATAAGTTTACAATTCGATCATTAATTTCTTGTAATTACTTTTACAAATTTCGTTGTAATAGTTTTCAATGATATGCATACAGCAGGCGAGTAACTCCTAACTTCATTAACTAAAAATAAAAATAGGAAATCATCAAATTGTCATCTTCAGCAATTCTAACAGGATACCATTGGCGTTACCATTCTAGTTAAAATGTCAAACATCACGCCGAAAAATAAATAATGTGTCTGTCAGGAATATTTCTTTATTTGATGAAAATAAGCTTTTTTATGATACAACAAAATGTTAAATGCATTGTTTCATTATTTTCTTTAAATGCTTTGTAATCTTACCGATTTCCAAAGTTAAATGGAAATAGGCAAACAATTTTATAATTCTTTCCCCTCCTTGCTTGTGCCACTCTCGAATTGTGTTCTGTAGAAATCATTGGCAATGTCGATAATCGATTTGATCTGCACAGTCGCGATCTTTATTATACGCTGCAAATAATCTGTAGTCTGTCGATGATAATTCTTCAACGGCAGCCCTGATAACGTCTGCGCATTTTGCAGAAACGTGTCCGTCTGTTGCTCATAACGCCATGAAAGCATCACCATCGCTATGGTAAGTAACGAGCTAATCATGAAGAACCATACGATCACACATGTGAAAGATCGGCATAGCCCAGTACCTGGATCACAAACAACATGAAATAATACATGATATATAAACGATTTTTTATTTATAAATTAAAAAATTATCAAGATCAATATTCATTTACTTGTCGATTTGTACGATTTACGCGTAGACGCATTATTGGATGATGATCCCATTAATCTTGCGCTATCGTTATTGTCCTGCAAGCATCCTTCGCTCTGTGTTGGAGAATCAGTTTTATTTCCGTTCATCTTCTCCCTTTCCACATCCTTCTTCCTCTTTTTCTTCTTGTTCTCCTTCTTTGTACTTGGCATCTCCTTGTCTGCATCGCCTGAAACATATCAGTAAATACTAATTAATTCCTAACTGTAATGTCAGTGTTACAATTTCATCATACTTATGCCTGTTCCTACTAATGTAGATTTTTATAATTTTACTCTATAAAACTTTTTGAGTAAATCTCACTTTAAAAAGTGAAATATATATCATTCTTAAAGATTGAAAATTGAGCTATTTTTCAAGACTAACTTAATTTTCATTCTTTAAAATGAGATTTCTTAAAAAAAATTAAGAGTATAAAGTTATCTACATTCGTGGAGACAGGCATTAGACTGAGTTGTTTCATCTTTTGATAAATCTCTGTTCATTCAAATTAAGAAGTAGGAAACAGTTTGTCTTTGTAAAGTCATTGAATAAGGAAACTGCTTATTTTTTTGGCCGTCTCTTTATTCAATTGTCTCTTTTATTCTCTTATTTATCTATTAGAGAAATTAATGCATACTTTATCTCTAAAGATGGCAACCAGCCCTTAACAAATAATATGACTGTATGTAACAGTTACATTATTGAATGTAAAATTATAATATCAATATTTAGTTAGATATTATACTTTATTAGATACTACTTTACTAGGATTATGCAAGACTTAAATGACTGTGCAACGAGCGATGCATACCTGTGACATTATTTAATCTACGTAATCTCTCTTCCTCGATGACAAGTTTAACATTGGACAAATAAGTGACAATATTACGAGCGCATGCCTGACACTCGCGCATATTACTACATGGTCCCGCAACACTGGCTACAGCCTCGGTCAAAGGGTTTTCTTTCAAATCCAACCACCTTAGATTTTTTAATTCACTCAGGCTCAGAGGTAATCTGCTGATCTGTAAATTATACAAATTATGTACAATTTTGTCAAAGGATGTAAGGAGAAAGTAGTTTACCTTATTAGCGTATAAATCCAAATGTTTCAATTGAGTCATCTCGCCAAAATTTTCAGGAAGTTCGATCAACATATTTCTGCTAAGATCCAATTTTACAATTTGTTTCAAGGTAACAAAAGTGGCCTGCAAAAAATTCGATATCCACAATTAGCACATAGATATTTAAATAATAAAATATTCAAATTATATAAAAATCTCTGAATTTTTATGTAGTCCAATAAAACGTACCGGCAGTGAAACCAAAAGGTTGGTTGATAAATTGACATTTGTGGCTTTTCTAAGAGATGCCTGAAATATAACAGGATTTATATGAGGAATATTTATTCCATAAATTACTTCTTTTATACACATTATACAATAATAATTAGACACATTATACAATAATAATTACATTAATTATTTTGTAAATTCAACAATGTTTGTCCCTTAATCTGTACTAAAAAAATTACGTAAAAGATATTTTAAATATTCTATGTACTAAAGTACAAATTTATACATACAATATAAGTTATTCTAATAAGTTAGTAGATTTCTACGAACGTTCCATTCAGTTAAAAAAAAAAGAAGACTTACGATTTCTCGCACAGGCACTTCCTCCAAGTCGCACAAGCTGAGGTCCAGGGTGTCCTCCTTCAGCTTGTCCTTCACGTCTTTCAACTTCAGTTTGACGGTCATGTCTGTCGAATCTTATGTGAAACGTGAACGCGGACCACTCCGTGCGTCTGCGACGTCAGATCGCGATTATCGAGCCCCGCACACATGCCCCGGCCCCGTACACGTAAGCAGGTATACGTATCCGGGAGCGCGCTTGACATGTAGTGAATACACACCAAGAGACTCACGTGGGCGTTGAATGCCTAACAACTAACGGGTGCTTAACGGCACCGATAATCACGCTGATTTGTCTGCACTTGTTCCCGCGACTTCGCGTTTGGCGACCGCACGTTTTGACCAGACTGGTACCTACCGACAAGAATAAATTGCGTGTTTTGCGCGACGTGTCAATGAAGGAGGGAGAAAAGGAGAGAGACAGAGAGAGATTTCCTCTCCTCGTCGACTCACTCGTTAATCCAATCTGGCCAAACTGCATTCAACTCGTCGATTAACTCCGTCTTCGGTCCTCCTTCGCGATCTTTACCATTTCCTTTATTTTGATCGCAACTGAACGAAATCCTTTTACAGGGCATTCTAGATCTTTTCTTTTTCCCTGGAAGATCATCCATATAGTAAGTACAGTAAAATTAGAGTTTCATCGTCTGTATCGTGCGTATCAGTGTACCTCTCAATCGGATTTGAAAAGTGTGTATCAGACAAGGATGCTGTGATATTGATTTTACGAACGTATAACGAGTTGATAAATTTTGTAGATTGTCGAGGAGGTGGTGAACATTCGAGATTTACGAAACTTGGAATCATAAACATTCTCGCGACAAGAGATAGCAGCAAATTTCAACATTCTTGAAAAAAAAAAATATTTTCTATATATATCTCTATATATATCTCAAAATGTCTACGCGATATATGAAAAAGGTCTACGGCAGCGATGTAACCCTGGAAACGGGTAACGACAATACGAGTGACACGGAAGTTTCAGTAGCCAGCAACACCAAGTCCAAGTCTTTCAATGTTTTCGATGTGGTACGCAGAACTAAACATTGTCACATTGTTTTATTCCTTTCTGGATAAAGGTAATGTTAAAATTATGTCCACAGTTGAACTCTGATAAGGAGGAAACTGATGACAGACAGGAAGATGAAGATCTTGTTACAAACAGTACAGATTACAATACAAAGCGTAAGAAGAAGAAAAAGCATAAGAAGTTGGAAAATGAGAGAGTCAAGAGTCAACAAGAGCATGATGGAGAATGTAACGAGAACATAGATGAGATTGAACGAAGTATAAGGGAGGTAAACAAATTGCTTGGAGAGCCACTACCAGGTTGCAGTACTCAAGTTTTGGAAGCGCAATGGGTCGATGATATATCTAAGGAAGATATATTAATTGTACAACGTAAACACTTGAATCCACATAACGAATTAAAAAGGATCTTTGGTAGCAAAACTATAGAGGCTGGACAAAGGTAAACTTACATCTATATGTATAATTATATCTACTTATGTAATGCACAGATAACGTTTGTAATTTGTAAGTTTTTGTTGAGCGAAGAATACTTTTGTTTTCTTATAGCAAGAAAAATAAAGGCCGTCCTGGAAATTTAAAGAAGACATGGTTGATTTACCCAGAAGATATTTATTGGGTACCATTAAAAAAATCTGGATTGTCCATGTCTCTAGATCTGGATTACTCTACAGATACTACGGAGAATGTACTTTATTTTGTATATGAACATAGTGCTTCGTACAAAGAGATACAACAAAAATTTTTGCAAGCTGTTGAAAGTCTAAATCCAGAGAATATAATAGTAAGTCAATATGTAGCAACATTAGTGATATTAGACTTAATGCTTCGCATTTCTGGCATAAAATCTTTAATTGTTTTATCATATTATGAGCTTATTTAGATAAAAATGATTCACTTCGAAATCTATTCATTATATAAATGTTAATACAAGTTATTATGTTTCAGAGTATAATGAATGCCCATTCTTACCACATAGACTCCCTCCTGCAGGTATCTGAGATGTGTAAATTAACTGAAGATTTAGCACATGCAGCAGAGTTCATCAAACGAGCTCTATACTGCTTAGAATGTGCGTTTCATCCATTTTTCAATATAACAACTGCGAAATGTCGATTGGACTATAGGAAGCAACAGAATCGTGCATTTTTTATAACACTTTTTAAACATCTTGGATTTGTCGGTGGACGTGCTTGCTATAGGTAAACATGCACGAATCAAAGGAATATCAGTAAAAAGATGTAAGAATTATTTAATTTCAATGAAAATTTCAGAACAAGCTTGGAATTATGTAAATTACTTTTGTCATTGGATCCTGAAGGTGATCCATTAGCAGTGGTCTTGTGCATTGACTTCTACGCTTTAAAAGCTAAAGAATATGAATGGTTCATAAAGTTTTGTAATCTGTGGGAAGACTCCAGAAATTTAACTCAATTACCAAACATTGTGTATAGCCTGGCTTTGGCTCATTTTCGTTTGGGAAATAAAACTGATGCGGATACACTTCTGCAAAATGCTCTTATCATGTTTCCAGATGTATTGATGCTCTTACTGGAGAAATGTAGTATACAAACAGACTCGAAGGTATCATAGACTTTAAAAAAATTGTCTTGAATATGACACTTTATGAAATAATTATTTCAGAGCAATATATATATATATATGTGTGTGTGTGTGTGTGTGTGTGTTTTGAAATGCTATTTAATTATTTAAATATTGAATTTCTTAGGTAAGGTTTCACGAGTTCTTCTACTCACATGCCAACACATCACCGGCTCTAGAGAAGCTGCAAAAATTATATGTAATGCGTAGCTTCCATCTTTGGAAGGAGACAGGTATTTTACCGTGGTTGGAAGAATGTGTACACACTGTGCTAAATCGAGTCGAGTCTGGAGATGATTATATCAAATACTGTCAAGTAAAGCGTAGCACACGCTATCGGGGAAAGCTGCCAAGGAACATTTTGAGACACATTATACTTTCAGACTTGCAGGAAGTTATAGTTAACGTCCAGGAGGTATTGTAATATCTTATATTCTGCATACTGTATTAAAATGCAACATATTAATACAATTTTATTAAAATTTGTATATTGCTTATTCCAGATCCAGGGTGAAGACCCAGTGTTATCACACGATCCATTACCGCCACTAGACAGCATTGATATTTATAAAAGGCCTACAGCAAACAATAGACCAAACAGTTCAAATTTCTTTTCTCTCTTTTTCTCTTCGCTTTTCAGGAATATCAATGGCGCAGCTGCTGCTTTAAATGATTTGAATTTACTGTAAGTACATAAAAAAAAACCCCAATAATCATCCCGAAAGATAGGAACATATAATCTTAATATTTTTACTCCTCTTTTTTTATCCACTGACTTATATAATTAAACTACTTAAAATAAGTTATCAATTATGGGCTATTGTAAATTATAGATCATAGACGATTAATAATATAAAGGTAATATAATTGTAATTATTTGACTAAGTGACGAAAGCGCTAAGATCAAACTCATATCGTTTAAACTTTCATTACTTAGTTGTGTATTCACATATCACGATCTTATGACATTTTGTTTGTAATTATTTGTTTAGTGAAGAAAATGATGACCAAGCATAATGACAACTTTCTCTAATTATGTGGAACTTAACAACACCAGAGAAGAAATCTATGCAAATTGTGCAGTTTTAAATAATACATATACATCGTTTTAAATAGTACATGTAAAAATACAAAAAAGTAGAGTTAATACATATAATAATGAAATAAAAATATCAGAATTATTTGATGTATAAAGAAATTTCATATATACAATTGAAGTTTTTGTTAAAATTTTTGCTCTATGTAAAATTGCTTCTATGTGTTGCATTCTTGTATGCATCACTATAAATAACAAATAATTATTTGTAACATTATTATAAATCTGTTATTATATACGCATTTTTTAAAGTCTTGTAAATATGATAAATATATCTATACTGCAGTAAAATACATAGTGAATTCTATGTACCTCATACTCAGTGTATACAAGTATATGTCATACATCATGAACGAAGATTGATTAAATTCCAAGAACAGGAATAAATGTATTAATTTTCATATATATATATATACATAGATTCAAGTCATACTCAAACATCCCGACATAATTCTGTAAAAAGAAATTTAAAATATGAAGTGTACCAACAAGGAATCTTTGAATTATTTTTAATTGCATTTAGCACCATGTTAGAAAAAACGAAGTAAATATTATCAGATAATCCTTAAATTCATAAATGACAATACTCTTAGAAATGATTTCGATTATCATGCTCGCCCCATTTATTTCTTAAACCATACTATGAAATACGGGATTATAACGACAAATTCCAGGACCGTACTCTTGGTATGCCTTCTTTGTGTGACAAACCGTGTAAAATTCTGGATCACTGGCCAATAATGCACCACCATACCATACTGCACAACGTTGCTTATGATGTGATATTACACGAACATCTATTGGTTTTGGCTGAAATATAAATAAAATTTAATAACACAAAGTATATTATTTTTCTCTAAAAATAAGAATTGTTATCATGACATCTACCGTAATATGGCTGCCGCTTAGCGTTTCACTGAGTTTAAGCCGAGTGTCGACGATTTTTTTTATGTCGCGTTGCAATCGTCTACCAAAGTCTTTAAACATGGTGGAGCCACCCGATAATACAATATTACTGTACAATGGTCTTCTAACATCGATTGGGCAGTTTTGAATCACGTCATCAACAATTTCATTGAGTGGTGTTGTAAAGTCCGGATTGGAAAACTGAAATATTGAGATATACAGAAAATGTAGGTATTGATTATAGGTCTATTCTTTTTAATTGAACTTTTCGCATGGTCAATCTTTTCTTTTTTTTTTCAACTTTTTTGAAAAAAAAGAGGAAAGATGAATTATGCAATAAATGTAGCTGACAAGAACAATTTTAAAAATTAATAATTATATGTATATAGGCAACTTACTTCAGGATGGAAAAATATTTCCGGTCCGAGAAACCTTTCGTATCCAACATCTACTACAAAAGGTTGTTTGGTGATATTATTAATACCTTCATATTTCTTAATTTTCGTAGGATCGCTATCATATTTGGCAAATTCCTTCGATATATCTGGGCATATGTAACAGTATTTCTCTTTGATTGACTTTGCTGTTTCCAATGATTGTTCAGGCGGTATTCCAATCTCTCGTTCTCTCAGTAGACTTTGTATGAAATATGTAATATCGCGACCAGCGATAGGAATGTGCTTTATACAACTTCCTATGACAAAACCTTCTGCCTATAAAAATGCAATAATTTGATTCCAAAAATCCAACTTCAACAATATATTCTGATGTTACACGTTTTTATACATACTACTGGAATCACATGAGTTACACCATCTCCACTATCAACAACGACACCTGTCAAAGTACGGTCCTCTACGTTCTTAGCTGTCCATGAGGCTGCTAAAGCTAGAACAGCTTGCACAGCTATGTAAAGTCCCGGTACATTAAACGACTCGAACATAATTTCCGCGGTATATTCCCGATTTTCTGGCGTGTTTAAAGGTGGTTCAGTTAAGAGAAAATAATGATCCTCAGGCTCTGACCTTAAGTATTTGAAAATGCATTGTTGTAGAAACTTTTCCATCAAATCCCAATCCTCTACTAAACCATGCCTCACTGGATACTGCAAATTAAGAATCAAAATTCATTTGATAAATATCAGTCATCCAGAAGAAAAAATCAATCTTGCATCAAACAAATGGATTGTAAGTAAATACTTTAACCGAATATCCAGTGGCTTCGAAAGCTTCATCTCCAATATAAGCATCCAAGTCTTCCACACCTTTTGTAATTCTTCTTGCATTATTATCGCCGACTTTAGCTGTCTCTTTGATAGCAATCGCCGACGGTATTGTCAGCTGGGGTTCCTTATTACCAGCAAATCCCAGTTTCGTGTACCTGAGATAACGCCATGATTAGATAAAGCTTGCTTTTTCAAACTGAACTTTTTACACAGTTCATTTTTCTTCTTTTTCTCTCCATGTTGGAGAAAAAAAGAGGGAAGATGAACCGTGAAAAAAGTTCAGGTAAAAAAGAGCAAGCTTGATAATCACGAGTGAGAGGCTCATGCATCACTGAGCGTATCACGATTGTGTGGGTGGCAAATATTTTTACGCACGTCGATACGATTCCGTCATGGGACGAAAAAGATTCTTCATCATAAAGAACGTGAGATGCACGTGAATCATCGAGGAGTGAAGGGGATTTAGTTCGCAATAGGTTTGACCGAAGTTACGAAGTTTACGAGCACAAATATGTGGATGATGCATAAAGCATAACAGAATCAACCAATCAAAATCATTCATTTCATGAAAAGAAAAAATTCCGATTGATTAATTCTCTTATGTATTATGCGTTATGCAAAGGTCCGTAATGTCCGTAATATTCCGGACCGAAATGTCATCGATGACAGATCGGTTGACTACCTAACCTAAAACCGACTCCACCCCCCTCCAAGATCGATCACGCCCTTTCTAACGTTCCGAGATGGTGCTTACCCTGTGCCCACATCGATGACACACGCGGGGAGACGTCCGAGCATGATTCCGACACTACCGATCACTCTTATCCCGGTAAATGTCTGACAACAGTCGCGGCTAACCAAAACGATACCACGCCTCTCGTCTTAACACACGGCACGCACGTTAACGACACCCGATATGTGGCCTCGACACGAGAATCGAGATATCGCGATCGCAGCGCATTCATCACGAACAGGAAACCTTCGAACTTCGATGTTATTGCAATGCGATGTTGACTGTGTTCAGCAGAGAAAGCGCTTCCTAGACAACACGCATGTCGGAAAATGAGACATAAGACGCTTAAGGCTGCATTTTCATGCTGACGCTCGACGCTCATTTTCAGCGTCAAGGTCACATGAGCAAAATTAATGCTTGGTATTCGTCAATTTTGATCACGGGACCTGTTTTGATGCTCAAATCGAGCGTCGAACGTCAGTACGAAAATGCAATCTAAGGCCGGATTCACACCTTGACGAAAAAGCGGAAAAGCGGAAGCCAATCGGAATTCGTAGTAGGCAGTATATTTCGCTTGTCTGCTTCTGCTTTCCGTGCGTTCTGATTGGCTTTCGCTTTTCTGCTTTCCGTTTTTTTGTCAAAGTGTGAACCCGGCCTAAAGGTATGTGTTCATGGCTCGTTGCTCATATTCAGCGACAAATGAGTCACATAATTTCATATGCTAACCTCGAATGTCGCTCATATGGGCTAGCAGCGATAAATTTTTGACGGTAATTATATTAATTGTGTTGTGTAAAGTCCAAAATGTATTAAAAACAATATTACTTGTCAAGTTGATGCGATTGTGCACGCAAAAATAAAGCAAAAACTACGACAAAATGGACTAATAATATCTATGCATTAATGAATGTAAAGAATGAACAAATTTAAAAAGTAAATATAAAAAAAGAGGTTTTGAGTTGATTCCTTACTTGAAAGATGACATGAATATGGATTTAAAAAAAATTATTATAATTATTGTAAATATTAGCAAAAAATTATTATAAAGAGCATAATTATAATTATGGTCTTTTCGTCTATGATCATTTTATGCCACAAGTATATACAACAGCCATCTGAAAATTTCGTAAATATGAAATTATCGTAAATAATAACATATAATACAATAATTAAATAACATAATTAAATAATAATAATAAATAATAATATTTTAATAATACAATAATTAAATTGATATAATGTATTAAGCGATAATAAAAAAAAGTCCAGTATTCGTAGTCAGATCTTATATTAGACCGTCTTAAATACGGTTTTAAGAAGTCACGAACCAATCAGAGGGCTGCATTAGCGTCTTAAGACAATAGGCCTGTTCTTTTTGGTTGAACTTTTGCATCAGTTCATCTTTCTTCCTTTTCTCACTAGAAGGAAAGAAGAGGAAGAAAGATGTACTGGTGCAAAAGTTTAGTCAAAAAGAACAGGCCTATTACTTAAGACGGTCTTGAAATAAGAATCGATTATAAATACTTTAATGACACTTAAAAAAAATAAAAGACGCCTTAAGATGTTTTATAACTCGATTTCGAATTTTTTGTTATCTGGATTATCATAAGAATACTGCATTACCAGTCGAAAATATTTGTGACTACGTAATTCAACATACACAAAATTTATTTTGCACTATCTGCACTAATCTACACCAATTATTGTATTGTATTGTACATTAACTTGCTTACACTTGCTTACACTTTATCTCTATCTACACTAGGTATGCGTATATATACATCAACATATGTTTATGTTGTATTATATATATACAAATTAAGTTGAATCCATATCATGCTAGGCATTGAAAACAAAAGACGTTGAAAATTCTTGAAGATTAAAAATTCTTGAAGATTAAAATTCGATCCATCAGCTAACTCCTCATCCATTTTGTTCTGATCATTGTGATAGAACAGCGAGATTACGAGTTCATGTACCTGAGTGCATCGAAGTGTTTGTGTTTGTGCATGCGTGTGTGGGGGTCAAGCCCAAGAACTGTCAAAAATGAGTGGTAAAGACGGTGGACGATAATGCGGTTAGTATTGTCCTAACGTCAAATAACTCGTTGCTAATCCATTTGCATAATTTAACATTTTAGAAAGAAAAAGAGAGAATTCATATAAGTCTTCTTAATTTAACAGATACGGTGATGCAGAACATTGACCATCAAGACGAGGAGTCACTCATGAAAAAGTAGATTTGAGTAGATTATCTGATTACCTTAAGGAATATGGATCGAATCCCGGATGAGGACCGAGGACTTCTGTTTCTCACCATTTAGTGAGATACAGTTAGGAGCGTGCACAATAAAGCACTGATCCAAATCATATCCGAAGGTTTGATCGAAGGATGCAAAGGATGCCTGACATTTTCCTGGGAAACAGTGGCACCCTTCATCGTTCCTTGATGTTTATATTGAAGCTCGGCTGGCAGTCTAGATTTCGCTTGCCTGTGCTTCTGGTTATTGTCTTTGTTGCCATGGATTACAGACTGCAGCTAGAAATCGAATTCGGAGACAATGCGGACCAACATGATGATCTGTGATTGAAACGAATGAGATCAAATTGACGTGATATTCTTAATTTACGTATCTAATATATATATGTAGCTAGAATGAGATAATTTGCTTTGGTCAAAGTAGAGATACGATCTTACTCGATTAGTACGTTTGAAACATAGCGTCAACTGTTAATGATCGATAGCTATTATAAATTTAAAAAAAATTCAAGTCGCAGGTACAATTTTATGCTCAGTACTTGTTTGTTATTAGCACTTGGGCTTGCCAGACTGCATTTGACGTATATATATAATGTAATAAAGGATAGGATTTTTAGATAGGATTTTCAGAAGTCTTTGAAAAAAATAGAGATTTTTTAATCTCTTAAGAAAATGAATACTAGTAATAAGATTAATAAAAACTTATGAAATATATGAAGCTGTGCGTGAAAGGAAACATTTTCCGACTTTTTCTATTACTGCGACCATTTCCATTTATGATCTCCGCAATTATTAAACAGAAGATAAGAAATAAATATAGCAGGAAATTTACGAGGATTTACTTATTACATGCAAAAATATAAGATAAATTGAATCAGAAGTATGATACGAATTTGAGAGATCTTTATTAAAAAAAAGAATATAAAAGATATAAATAAGGAACTTATTTATGTCTTATTTTGTATATATAATTAATTCTATAACTTGTAAATTGTTTGTATAATATATGACAGTGGTGTTATTTACGAATAAATAAACAGGAGGCAATTTATTTTTAGATATTATGTATTACAAATTTTTTAACATTCATTTATCTTAAGACATAAGTTTTCATTTATCATGTCCAATAATAAACGAGAGTAATTTGCGAACCAAAAATCTTTTCGAAAAAATCTAAATTAATTTTTGTTAATATATATATTTTTTTAGTACTTAATGATTTAAAATATAAATTTTTTGAAAATACGTTTTTGAATATTGGTTAAAAATATTTGAAAACTTATTTTAAATATTCTTTCTCTTAAAAAATAACGACTCAAAAAAAAAATATATTTAATAATAAATAACTATCTGTAAATAATTCAATGGGTTAAACATAATTAAAGCTATTAATGTATAGCATCTAATTTGAAATATTTATTCAAGAAGAACAGGCAAAAACTTTTTGCCATTTATTTTTTTATTATTATATAATTTTGAGGATTGCTCTTTTAAGTTGAATTTATTCATATATTTATTCGACATAAAATTAAATATATTTGAGTTTTTTTTAACACTCGAGAGCATGTAAAAAGATTAAATTTAATCAAGAGAACAAATATTTTGTACATTTGTTGTTATAAATTAGGAACAATAAGTTTAAATATAAGATTTTGTTATTCTAGAATCTTTATTAAAAGGGTGTATTCTTTAATTACAAGCTATTGTAATTGTATGATAAATAACATTTTTTTTTTAATCGAAATAGAATTGTTGAAAATAGAGAGCGAATCTCTCGCAGATGTGGTCGGAAAGCCGTTAATCCAGGTCCCGTGGAGAACACTTTTCCTGTCAGGACACGTCTGTTTCATGAAGAAAAAGTAGTACCACGTGCTTCGGCATTTACCAATTCGCTTCGAGAGCATCGCGCTTTTTCTTCATCGAAGAAGAAGCAATTGACGATAAATTTCGCCGACGTTTAGCTTAGTCGATGTGCCCATGGGTGGGGATTTCATTTATATAAACGGCATGAAAATGAAGTTTATCGGTTTTTCTTTACATAGCCGTCCCGATGGAAACTAGAGTTCCAGGATTTTCCAGTATCCTCAGGATCCTCCTTCTGTTCGCTTGCTTCTCGTTGCGAACTGAAGCGGCATTTAATCCCGAAAGTTTCCGTGAGTGAATTGACAGTAAACAGGGTGATAAAAGATTTATGTAAACTTGTAAAGAAATTTTTTTTATTGTACTGAAATATATCATTCCGAGATGTTTCTAAAATATCGAAATATATATTGAACATGTTTAATGTGCCTCTGGTCTTTATTAAATTTATTGTTGAATACTTGAAAGTATGTATTATTGAATATTTGTGAAAGAACTTGTCTCAAAATGGAGAGAACTCCGTTTGCCTACAAGTTGATTGCTTACAATATTTGCCTACATCATATTTGTCGACAGTTCGTTTGCATAAAAATTATTGTCTACAGATCGATTGCCTGTAAGTACTAAAAACATAAATTCTCTGTTTTAAAACACAAATTCTCTGCTTAAAAAACACAAATTATTTTCTTACATAATTCCCTGGTGAAAATTTCTTTTATAATTTTTATACGAATTAAAACATTTTTCAGAAATACTTAATAATATAATATTTGTGAAGAAATATTCAGAATTTTTTATACAAGTGAATTCTAAAATATTCTGAAATTTCTCATCCTATAATTAAAAAAAAATATTTTAAAATTTTTTTAGATTTTTTAACATTTCATCAGAAATTACTTACAAAAAATCTTATAAATCTTACGATATTTCCTAATTAACATATATGAAAAATTTTGAGAAAAGATGTACATTTTCTGAGAAATATTCCAATTCGTATAAAAAAATGTGAGAAAATTATAAAATTATATAGAAATTCTGAAAAAAATTTTGAGAAAAATTTTCACTAGGGTTTATTTTAATTTTATATTTGTATACAAAAATTCTTGTAGGTAATCGATTTGTTTTCAATAATATGTGTGTGCAAACGCACTTTTTCGTTTTAATTTTATATTTGTTAATAATAGTGCACATAAGCAATCCAGAAATAGATAATAATTTTTATATGTAAACAAACTGTTAGCAAATGTGATGTAAGCAAATGGTGCTATATCAATTAATTTGTAGGCAAATGGAGCTCTCTCTCTCTCTCTCTCTCTCTCTCAAAGTGTACCAAATAGAATAATAAAATAACGACTATTCCAGAGCAAAAATTAATCGCTTTACAAAAGATCCTTGACTACATGAACAATAGACCAGAGCAGATGAATCTGGATGCTGCTTTCGGTATTACCTTAACCGAAGGTAAAGAGAATCATATAATTTCTAATTAAAACCGATATAATCAATATGATATCGATGAGAGATTGCTTTTACGAGAATTTAGCAGATTAAGATTTTTAAAATATGAAGCTTGAATTAGGAAATAAGAATTTTAATATAAAAATTCACAAATATATTTTTGTAATGTAATTTTTAATAAATTTGCGTAATATTTATTGCTATTAAAATAGCTAATTTGGTGGCGGCACTCCTACATGAAAACGTCCAATATTTGGAAGACAAATTCTTCATTGCTCTCAAAGAAATGGTTGTACTATCCGATTTAACTCGAAAACATTTGATGAAAATTATTGCTCCGAAGAACGAAACTAAATTTTTAAGTAAGTGCAATGAATATATGATACACACGAAAACATAGATTTGGTTTCCTTTAATGCATTTTATTTATTTGCACAGTTTTCATATTTGAAATTCATGGGTTTACGAAGAACATAAAAAGTGCAAATAATTGTAGAAAAATGTAGGAAAGCTTCCCGGGAAAAAATATTCTATGTATAATTATATAAAATTATATGAAAAATTTACATGTTTTATATAGAGTTATTTATATATAAAATATATAACTTTTTTCCCGAGATTCTTTAAAAGAAAATAGATTTGAGATGCTAAAAATATTGCTTTTAACAATTTGCACTCTTAAACTTAAGAATTTTTAATTAAATTAATAATTATTAAAAATTGAAATTAAGAATTTCCAAAATCATTTTTTACGTTTAAATTTACGTTGTTGGAAAACTTTTTTAGTTATTGATTAATGTCACTGCTTATTAAGTAATCAATCAGATTTTCTGAAGTCTAAAGTTTTACAGTGCTATCGACTTTAAACAATCCCAATCAGTGGATAAAACCTATATCGTGGACGAAAGTCTTTTCAAAATTGAGATCTCATCCTCAATTATTAAACTATCAGGAAGTTGTTCGATCAATATGGCATGGTACACCCACTGAAACGGAAAGCGATCAATGTTTAATCGAAATAATGCGTAGCAGTTTAAAGGAGGAATGTGAAATTCCTGTTGCTTGTGTTGCAACATTGATAAAGGAAGATGATACTACTGGATATCCTCTTACGCATAGATTGCTCATCGTTCAAGTTGCTAAAGTAGTAAGAGGCTAAGAAACTTAATTATTACATCGTACACTTATATTATATATGCGTATATTACGCTCACGAGAAAAAAAGAGAAGAAATCTTTTTCGGGTATTTTTACGTTTACCAAATTTGATTAATAAAAAGAAATTGATTTTAGCTGGGATGCGAGGAGATCATCGACAAAACGACTTCGCTCTCCTCTTTGGTATCCACGTATTGTACCAGGATCTTTCAGGATCTCATTAATCTCGAAGCGTGGAACTTCCCAAACGTTACGCGAGATCTCATGTTGGAGCAAGGTAATTGTGCGAGCGATAAAAATATTTATATTTTATATATTAATTCTTTAATTGCGGCTTATGTTTCGTACATAAATTGACTATGCGTGCTCTGGCGAAAATAAAAATTGGAGTAAATCGAAGGAAAATGTGATAAAAGCGTAAACACAGCTTCTAGGAGGCAAAAATTGAGACAACAGAACATAAAAAAAGGTATAGGCTTCTTGTTGTCTCAATTTTCGCCTCCTAGAAATTTCGTTTAAATTCTTCTGTGACTCCTTTTATTTACACTTCAATATTTATTTTTTATTTACACTCCAATTTTTATTTTTGTCGGGATGCAACATGCTTGCGTATACGAATTGTCAATTAAGCGTATGTATATGTTCGTCTTTCGTAATGAAAGGATTAAATAAAAAGAAAATATATATCTATATATAAATAAATATGAAAAATATTGCGTACCTTTTTAGTTGTTCTATGCGGTATGGAGGGTTACTACGAATTCGTCGATAAACATTATGAAGATATAATACTGAGTTGGCCTCATTGGAGTGGCTGCTTTGGTGTAATCGAGTAATTGTCTATGCATTAGAAAACATATTTTTTTATAGAGATACATATTCTAATTATGCAATTACAATATTTCATCACGTCGCAATTATTACAGTTAATATAGAATTGTTAATGTATAATTGCAATAATATGTAAATGTGTTGACTTCAACCAATTAGAATACATTATACGTGTATTTAATGTATTCATGTTAAAGATTCTATAAATATTTACTAAATATTTTGTAAGAAAAATATCGTAAATGAATGTTATGTTAAATGTTTCAGACTTTCTAACGAACACCAAATCACTCGGCGATCATCGTCGATAACCGACTTTGGATGTGACAATCATACGACAAGTCTTGCTGCTGCGAGTCTTGCCGTATTTATTCGGGAAAATATAGAAAATGCTCTTAGTCAGCCTTAAACTTCTGTTACTTATATGGAGCGCTTTTATATCTGATGTTTCTTTCTAATGTTTTGCAGATCTGATTTTTTGTTGAAGTTCTTTACAATTACAACTTCATAATTTTTTATAAGAAAAAAAATATATATGTATAAAACAGAATATATTTTATGTAATATAATAAATATATTTTATGTGTATATACACACACACACACACACACACACACACACACAAGATTATCTTATATTCCCGACAAGAAATACAATTAAGAAAAATAAATATAACAAATGTATTCGGTAAAAAATAGTGTATCGCTCGAAAAATTGTATTATTTCTGTGGAGCTGAAATATATTTATGTATGTGCAACAGATATATATGTATATTTTATAAAAGAATTAATTTTATTAGAAAGGTATAGTAACTTTTAGAATTTTAATAACCAGTATTGAAAAAAACGAATTTGTTCTTAAGTATTGTAATAAATAATATTTATTAAGATTGAAAAGATACAATGGCACACATTTTTCGAAGGGAAAAATCAGAATAAATAGTTAAAGTAAGAGAGTCTATTTTTCTAATAGTATTGGTATGAAAACTTGTTTTGTGTGTGTGACACACTTCCGTTTCTTCTTCTTCCACAAATTAAAAAAATTAACTAAGGATGTGAATTAATTGTCTCACCAATCTACTAATGAATTCTATCTTATTGTTGTCTCTTGATGATTTGAGAAAGGCAGTGTCTAATTCTTTGACGAAAATTCGTCTCATAAAAACATTTCATAAACTATCTTATAATAATATAAATTAATTTATCGGTAACTTCGTTAATTTTCTATTTCTACTCCATTTTGTTTAAGTTTAGACTATTAAATTAATAATCTCTTAATTAATATTATTTGATATTTAATTAATAGCATATAAAAAGCATATTTTTTTATTCTTTGCTAATTTCTGATTAATAATTGCACTTGGAATACTTGACAGTTTTTTTTAGTTATTCGAAAACAGAAAATTACGGAAGTAACTTTAAAATTACGGGAGTATTTATTCGGTCATTATAAACAAAATAATGATAGTTATATAATAAATAAGTTCTAATGTAAAAATGTCCTAGCTTATGCTTATTTTACGCAGATTAAGGGATACTTTTTACGAAGTATCCGGTCATGTAAATTATGAAATATATCGTGCTTTGGTGCAACCTATAACGAGAATATCTTTATAATGCCGTTTATATAGATTTACAATTAACAAAAAGATATTCCCGTTAGATAAATGACTGTAAGAAAAATTGACTTTAATCTGACGTTATTCAGTGAATCACATGAAAAGAATAGTTTTGCTAAAATTCCTAAAAATTTAGTTAAATCTGAAAATAATTTTATTTGATTGTAAAAATAATTATACACTGAAAGAGCAATTCTGCTGAAAAATCTAAAAATTTAGCTAAATATAGATCTGAAAAATAATTTTGTTGGATCATCAAAACGATTAGGTAGGACGACAAAAATGATTGCTAAAATATCAAAATATTTGCAGCATTGTTCATCATATCCTTAAGATTCCTGCAAAATTATTTTCAGATTTGTATCTAGTCAAATTTTTAGATTCTTCAATAAAATTGCTCTTTCAGTGTATAAAATATTCAAATTGATTACAACGTCAAAATTTTTTGCAGCATTGCTCATCATACTTGTATTGTCTTACATAAACATTTTAATCGCAAAACAAATTATTTTCACATTTGTAATCTATTTAAATTTTTAGATACTTCAGCAAAATTGTTCTCTCCGTGCAAAGATACTTATTATTGGCAAAAACGATATAAACCGCTGCAACTTGCAACCGATTCTAACAACGTGTCGTGAGTCGACGAGTTTGTAAATGTTTATACGAGCGGTAGCGGTTGCTGCGGTCGTCATACCGTTCTCCACGATCGCTTTCGCTGACAGGCCTCTGCAATCGCGTATCTACACATTCAATCTCATGCTCGTCGGTAATTGTACGGCTTTCCATAAGGACCCATTCTTTTGCTCATCTTCTCGATCTTCAGTTGCTGGAAATAGCTGTACACCACCAGCCACATGTACGTGTATATTGCTGCAAAAGGTTAAAACACTATTATACTATAAGTTGCCTTAATTGCACAAACGTACTATCAATGTCTATCAATTTCTTTGATAAAAAGATTAGTTAATTTTAGATTGTCAACAGTATTATGACCACAGATTATCTATGGTTGAACTTCCATCAGACTTCTATGGTCAGGCTGGCCATAGAAATCAGTTTATCTTCTGACTGAAGATTGTGTTCTTCATAGATAGTTCTGTGGTTGTGACTTCAATTATGATTTTTTTTAAGATTTTCAATTATTTCCTCAATTCGTAATGATGAACAAGAAAGAAATTGCCTTTTTTAAAATATTTTTTTTTCTGAGTAAACAAAAATTTTATTGAAAATTCGCGATGGTATTCAAAGCGCAACTGACATTAAATACTCACCGACGGCAATTGGGCCAAATACGAGCCAAAGAACGCCGTTAAGAACTTCGCCGTTTACTAAGAACATAATTGCAGTGTAAAGGACGCTCACAAGAAAGGCGACGGCTAGCATAAGACCCAGAACCACCCATGGAAGCATCATAAATGTATTTTTCTGCGAATCCAAACCGATCATCATTAAAATTATTTATATAAAATAATATCAGATAATAAATAAATTAAGAACAATATGCATAATATATTTTTCGATTTTGTATATACATTATATGATATATACAATGTGTAAAATTATTAATTTTTATATATTTTTATATATTTAGTATTAAATTTTATAGTCGCTAAATAAATTTTATAAATTTTCTGAAAAATCTGTTGTATTGTCTACACAAACATTTTAGATTAAAAAATTCTAAACATTTAGTGACTTTATGTCTACAATTTTAAATGTCTCTCATTATTCTTCTGCAACATTTTATTGTATATAGATGTACTGTCAATATTTCTTTACCCTTAAAGCACCGATTATGAGTAATGTAGAGATGAGGATGGTCATGCAGAGGTTGATGGCGAAGATGATCTTTACGGCTGTCTTGTCTAGAATGTCGACGATTATCGTTTTCCATTCTACGTTCGCCGTGAAGATCAGGATCAGGAAAAGCACAGCTAGTACCTGCACAAAATCGGTTTACGTAATAATTGAATCACGTGCGAGTTGGAAACATAGAAATGATGTACTTACGATGCCACATACTCCACTGAAAATTGTTCCCGTTTTCAAGGAACAACATCTGCAACAGGTCGTCAGCTGCATTCTAAAATAATAAAGAGTTCCATTATTTTATCGAATTAATATTACTATTTATTAATATTACTATTACTATTTACAAAATATTTAAATATATAACAAATATGTATTATTCATCATCATAAATATAATTTTGTTTTATGTAAGTTTCTGCAATATTTTTTTTCTAATATTGAATATTAATTATAATCTTTTCTTTTATCAAATCTGATAAACATTAACGTAATAAATGAAAAATTGCTAAAAGTAGTATTTGCTAATAAAGCAAGAAAAATAAGTTTCCAAGGGACACATCAAGTTGAAATGATTTTATTTTGAAGTCAAAATCATGAAAGTCAAAATGATTTCTGGTTATAACATTTGACTGTTTATTGACGTCAAGACTCAAAATAAAGTCATTTCAATATGTTGTTGACTTTTATATGTTCCTTGAGTTAGAAATTTTTTTAATCATCAATTTTTGAAAATATCAAATAAGGGATATAGAAAAATTGCGTTTCTAAAAACTAACTCGATTTTTTTCGACATTATCTTGATCAAAATAGATCAGAATATGCTTTGCATAATCCTATCATAAATTCGCCACACCCGCACCTCACCCATCAATTGCGGATGATGACGCAGTGGATTACGGAATATTGGGCGATGATGCGACAACGTGATCCATTCTCGCCGCGACGTATCGCAATATCGCGCGCGAGTAGTTAATTCGTGTTATGTCGAGAATAAGGGAAATTTGGGTCATTGGCATGTGCCGCGCGCTCGCTTCTATTTTAGACACTTAAACAAGTCGCGTATTCGTCGTCGCTGACCTTCCTTCCGGCGTTTATTATTATTTCTCCAACACTCAGGGATTCGATATCCGGTGGCGGGAAATAGATACATCCTCTGCGGATAGTAAAAAGACATGACACGTAATTATGTTACGTTTAAAATTTTGAATACTTCATGATTTTTTTACGATTATTTTTAACATACATTGTCAAATTCAATAATGTTAAATTATACATCATTTAAATTATTTTTATATTTACAGGTCGCTACTGCTCTTTCAATACGTCGTTAATTTATATAAAATAATAGAGTTAAACAATTTTGCTTTCCGGCAAGAGACAGACTGTAACATAAGTTACACAGAATGTAACACAGTGAATCATTACATCCTTATTGTTCGCCAATATTAAATAGAGAAATGATCACTATGTTATTATTATACATTATATTACATTGTGTAGGATTCTCTCTGAAGGATTTTGACAAAATCGCTCGTGGCCAGATTCTGATACAGCGTCTTTAATTTATGGTGCTTTTCAGCAAGAGATAGAGTGTAACACAGTGACCATTTCATCTCTGTTTAACATTGGTAAATAATAAAGATGTAGAATAATTCACTGTATTACACTGTATCATCTGCATCTCTTACTGGAAATTAAGCATCCTTTAATTCAAGAAAATATATTCAGTTTGATTCAAATTATTGTTTATTTTTTATTTAAATGCATACGTTAATAATATGAACGATGCTTACTTGGAAACTAAGCACTGAAATAGATTGGATTAATTTACATTTTGACATAGATAGAAATTAAAAATAACAAAATGTTATTTAACTCAAGGGATACCATTGCTCCTTTGATATTTAAGTATATACAGTCATCGTATAGAACGGAGTTTTCCATTTTTGTCCAAGCGAATAGCAACAGACGAAGGTAGGCGTGTTTTGCTCAAACCAATATTTCTTTGAGCCTGTCTCTCTCCGATCTAAGGTCGGCTCGAGGACTAAAGAACAAGATCGCTACAAAATCGCGTATACACAGCCACGGCTGTACGTTCGCCGACCAAGTCGAGGTCTTCTGATCCTCATAAGGAAACGTGTCTCTGCGCGATCCTACGCCGTTTACTTCGCGAAAAAAGCTACTACATCACCGTCGAATGATGACCGGCTGATTAAGATTACCTTGGTAGTTCATGGTAAATTGACGGCTGTACTTGACCGACACTCGAGAGCGTGGCTTGAAAAAAGCGTCAGACATTAAGAGGCCTCGATACCTATCTCGGCGATCTCGATTCGTGACAACAGAAGGAAGAAATATTGCAGAATGTTTCTTGTGTGTTTCGTAAGATGATCGTTGAAGGTCCAAAGCAAATTTACTAAGCAGCGTGAAGACTTGCGGAACTCATTGTCAGTTTCATGGACGTTAAATGGAAAATATGGAACAATTAAATGACACGGTTAATTAGAGAATTGTTCTACACGGTGTCGGGCTAGTCAACGAAGAATTTCTAGCGCATTTTGTAAGTTTGCCGAGCTATAACCGGTTTCGGATTTTGTTGACGAATAGTTCGCACAGGAATGCATAAATCACATGAATTTTCTCACTTCGGATGTTATAATCAGCGATGACGAGTGTATCGCTACTGGACTTTCGATATTTTATTAAAGAAAATATACATGCAGAGAACAATGAAGTATATAAATTAGACCACGTTTAAAAGTAATTATAAAGTATCAAAATAATTATGTAGGACACGCGCTGAAGCACGATGATAATGGAAAAAGTTTTGAAATTCTAGCAATTAGCTTGAGTGTATATAATATAATTATTTGGATGATCCAACATAATTATTTCTAATATTAAACAAAGTATCTTTTAAATAATTATTAAGATAATTTAAAATAATTATTTCTACATTTGCATTCAGCTAAATTTTTAAATGCTCCAGAAAAAATCGTTCTTTTCATGAAAAGAATCTAACAGAGAAATAATTAAAATGATGAAGCATGATGATAAATCACTTTGTATAATGAAAACTTACAATCGTAAAATTACAATCGTAATTCTCGTAAGGCTGGAATCAGACTACACATTGAAGAATGAAATTGAAGATTGAAAGATTGAAGTTTGATCAATCAGAACAAAAGGAGTCAAAACTTCTTTGTCCTCATTGGTGAAATTTCAATCTTTAGTCTTTAATCTCGTTCTTCAATGCATAGTCTGATTCCGGCCTAACGTAAATTGTTCCTGTTATTATAATAGACAAGACTGCTGCTCGGAGGTGCATTCCGGAAGAGTGCCGCTGAAACGCGCGATTCTATCCGGCTTGCGCAAAAAGAGATTGCGTCACTACACAAGAGATCACTGTGAAGCTCGGAGATCATTTTCCTAAAGAGAACGAGCGTTTTAAATGTCGGTATTATACCAGTCTTCAAGTCATCGCGAAGTAGTATTACGCGTTTGCGCAACCGTTTCCGAAGGCATTGATTATTAAGTATCATAAATATCATAAGAAATATCAATTATGAAAATAGAAAATATACACATTGATGTGTATATTATGATGTGTATATTATTAAATTATGACCTAATGGATTTATATACGCTTGCGTAAATTTATTAATTAATAATAACATATTTATATTTTTTAAGTGAAGTGTCGATTAATTTCAGCTTCAATAAACGCGTTTAAAAAATATTTTGTGATTTGTAAATCTTATTTTATTTTCTAAAAATTAACTTATTACATATTGGTTCTCTCTAAATCTTTTGGAATGGAATCTCACTCTAAAGATTGAAAATTATAAATCAATAATGGATTCATATACCTACGCTTGCGTAAACTTATTAATAATAACTTTTTATATTCCGAATAAAGTCGATTAATTTTAGTTTTGATACAAGCGTTTAAAAAACATTTTGTGATTTGTAAATCTTATTTTATTTTCTAAAAATTAACATATTATACATTGGTTCTTTTTAAATTTTTTGGAATGGAATCTCACTCTAAAGATTGAAAATTATAAATCAATAATGGATTCATATACCTACGCTTGCGTAAACTTATTAATAATAACTTTTTATATTCCGAATAAAGTCGATTAATTTTAATTTTGATACACGCGTTTAAAAAACATTTTGTGATTTATAAATCTTATTTTATTTTTTAAAAATTAACGTATTACACATTGGTTCTTTTTAAATTTTTTGAAGTGGAATCACGCTCTAAAGAGCGAAAATTGAGCTGGTCTTGAAAAAGAGTGGGTCAATTTTCAATCTTTAAAAGCGAAATTTTATTCTTCAAAGTGATAATTCATTTTAAAAATTTTAGAGAATAGGTGTAATATCTAATGATTCCGATATAGGTATTAGTCATTGCACCTATTCTCTAAAATTTTTAAAATGAATTATCACTTTGAAGAATAAAATTTCGCTTTTAAAGATTGAAAATTGACCCACTCTTTTTCAAGACCAGCTCAATTTTCGCTCTTTAGAGCGTGATTCCACTTCAAAAAATTTAAAAAGAACCAATGTGTAATACGTTAATTTTTAAAAAATAAAATAAGATTTATAAATCACAAAATGTTTTTTAAACGCGTGTATCAAAATTAAAATTAATCGACTTTATTCGGAATATAAAAAGTTATTATTAATAAGTTTACGCAAGCGTAGGTATATGAATCCATTATTGATTTATAATTTTCAATCTTTAGAGTGAGATTCCATTCCAAAAAATTTAAAAAGAACCAATGTATAATATGTTAATTTTTAGAAAATAAAATAAGATTTACAAATCACAAAATGTTTTTTAAACGCTTGTATCAAAACTAAAATTAATCGACTTTATTCGGAATATAAAAAGTTATTATTAATAAGTTTACGCAAGCGTAGGTATATGAATCCATTATTGATTTATAATTTTCAATCTTTAGAGTGAGATTCCATTCCAAAAGATTTAGAGAGAACCAATATGTAATAAGTTAATTTTTAGAAAATAAAATAAGATTTACAAATCACAAAATATTTTTTAAACGCGTTTATTGAAGCTGAAATTAATCGACACTTCACTTAAAAAATATAAATATGTTATTATTAATTAATAAATTTACGCAAGCGTATATAAATCCATTAGGTCATAATTTAATAATATACACATCATAATATACACATCAATGTGTATATTTTCTATTTTCATAATTGATATTTCTTATGATATTTATGATACTTAATAATCAATGCCTTCGGAAACGGTTGCGCAAACGCGTAATACTACTTCGCGATGACTTGAAGACTGGTATAATACCGACATTTAAAACGCTCGTTCTCTTTAGGAAAATGATCTCCGAGCTTCACAGTGATCTCTTGTGTAGTGACGCAATCTCTTTTTGCGCAAGCCGGATAGAATCGCGCGTTTCAGCGGCACTCTTCCGGAATGCACCTCCGAGCAGCAGTCTTGTCTATTATAATAACAGGAACAATTTACGTTAGGCCGGAATCAGACTATGCATTGAAGAACGAGATTAAAGACTAAAGATTGAAATTTCACCAATGAGGACAAAGAAGTTTTGACTCCTTTTGTTCTGATTGATCAAACTTCAATCTTTCAATCTTCAATTTCATTCTTCAATGTGTAGTCTGATTCCAGCCTTACGAGAATTACGATTGTAATTTTACGATTGTAAGTTTTCATTATACAAAGTGATTTATCATCATGCTTCATCATTTTAATTATTTCTCTGTTAGATTCTTTTCATGAAAAGAACGATTTTTTCTGGAGCATTTAAAAATTTAGCTGAATGCAAATGTAGAAATAATTATTTTAAATTATCTTAATAATTATTTAAAAGATACTTTGTTTAATATTAGAAATAATTATGTTGGATCATCCAAATAATTATATTATATACACTCAAGCTAATTGCTAGAATTTCAAAACTTTTTCCATTATCATCGTGCTTCAGCGCGTGTCCTACATAATTATTTTGATACTTTATAATTACTTTTAAACGTGGTCTAATTTATATACTTCATTGTTCTCTGCATGTATATTTTCTTTAATAAAATATCGAAAGTCCAGTAGCGATACACTCGTCATCGCTGATTATAACATCCGAAGTGAGAAAATTCATGTGATTTATGCATTCCTGTGCGAACTATTCGTCAACAAAATCCGAAACCGGTTATAGCTCGGCAAACTTACAAAATGCGCTAGAAATTCTTCGTTGACTAGCCCGACACCGTGTAGAACAATTCTCTAATTAACCGTGTCATTTAATTGTTCCATATTTTCCATTTAACGTCCATGAAACTGACAATGAGTTCCGCAAGTCTTCACGCTGCTTAGTAAATTTGCTTTGGACCTTCAACGATCATCTTACGAAACACACAAGAAACATTCTGCAATATTTCTTCCTTCTGTTGTCACGAATCGAGATCGCCGAGATAGGTATCGAGGCCTCTTAATGTCTGACGCTTTTTTCAAGCCACGCTCTCGAGTGTCGGTCAAGTACAGCCGTCAATTTACCATGAACTACCAAGGTAATCTTAATCAGCCGGTCATCATTCGACGGTGATGTAGTAGCTTTTTTCGCGAAGTAAACGGCGTAGGATCGCGCAGAGACACGTTTCCTTATGAGGATCAGAAGACCTCGACTTGGTCGGCGAACGTACAGCCGTGGCTGTGTATACGCGATTTTGTAGCGATCTTGTTCTTTAGTCCTCGAGCCGACCTTAGATCGGAGAGAGACAGGCTCAAAGAAATATTGGTTTGAGCAAAACACGCCTACCTTCGTCTGTTGCTATTCGCTTGGACAAAAATGGAAAACTCCGTTCTATACGATGACTGTATATACTTAAATATCAAAGGAGCAATGGTATCCCTTGAGTTAAATAACATTTTGTTATTTTTAATTTCTATCTATGTCAAAATGTAAATTAATCCAATCTATTTCAGTGCTTAGTTTCCAAGTAAGCATCGTTCATATTATTAACGTATGCATTTAAATAAAAAATAAACAATAATTTGAATCAAACTGAATATATTTTCTTGAATTAAAGGATGCTTAATTTCCAGTAAGAGATGCAGATGATACAGTGTAATACAGTGAATTATTCTACATCTTTATTATTTACCAATGTTAAACAGAGATGAAATGGTCACTGTGTTACACTCTATCTCTTGCTGAAAAGCACCATAAATTAAAGACGCTGTATCAGAATCTGGCCACGAGCGATTTTGTCAAAATCCTTCAGAGAGAATCCTACACAATGTAATATAATGTATAATAATAACATAGTGATCATTTCTCTATTTAATATTGGCGAACAATAAGGATGTAATGATTCACTGTGTTACATTCTGTGTAACTTATGTTACAGTCTGTCTCTTGCCGGAAAGCAAAATTGTTTAACTCTATTATTTTATATAAATTAACGACGTATTGAAAGAGCAGTAGCGACCTGTAAATATAAAAATAATTTAAATGATGTATAATTTAACATTATTGAATTTGACAATGTATGTTAAAAATAATCGTAAAAAAATCATGAAGTATTCAAAATTTTAAACGTAACATAATTACGTGTCATGTCTTTTTACTATCCGCAGAGGATGTATCTATTTCCCGCCACCGGATATCGAATCCCTGAGTGTTGGAGAAATAATAATAAACGCCGGAAGGAAGGTCAGCGACGACGAATACGCGACTTGTTTAAGTGTCTAAAATAGAAGCGAGCGCGCGGCACATGCCAATGACCCAAATTTCCCTTATTCTCGACATAACACGAATTAACTACTCGCGCGCGATATTGCGATACGTCGCGGCGAGAATGGATCACGTTGTCGCATCATCGCCCAATATTCCGTAATCCACTGCGTCATCATCCGCAATTGATGGGTGAGGTGCGGGTGTGGCGAATTTATGATAGGATTATGCAAAGCATATTCTGATCTATTTTGATCAAGATAATGTCGAAAAAAATCGAGTTAGTTTTTAGAAACGCAATTTTTCTATATCCCTTATTTGATATTTTCAAAAATTGATGATTAAAAAAATTTCTAACTCAAGGAACATATAAAAGTCAACAACATATTGAAATGACTTTATTTTGAGTCTTGACGTCAATAAACAGTCAAATGTTATAACCAGAAATCATTTTGACTTTCATGATTTTGACTTCAAAATAAAATCATTTCAACTTGATGTGTCCCTTGGAAACTTATTTTTCTTGCTTTATTAGCAAATACTACTTTTAGCAATTTTTCATTTATTACGTTAATGTTTATCAGATTTGATAAAAGAAAAGATTATAATTAATATTCAATATTAGAAAAAAAATATTGCAGAAACTTACATAAAACAAAATTATATTTATGATGATGAATAATACATATTTGTTATATATTTAAATATTTTGTAAATAGTAATAGTAATATTAATAAATAGTAATATTAATTCGATAAAATAATGGAACTCTTTATTATTTTAGAATGCAGCTGACGACCTGTTGCAGATGTTGTTCCTTGAAAACGGGAACAATTTTCAGTGGAGTATGTGGCATCGTAAGTACATCATTTCTATGTTTCCAACTCGCACGTGATTCAATTATTACGTAAACCGATTTTGTGCAGGTACTAGCTGTGCTTTTCCTGATCCTGATCTTCACGGCGAACGTAGAATGGAAAACGATAATCGTCGACATTCTAGACAAGACAGCCGTAAAGATCATCTTCGCCATCAACCTCTGCATGACCATCCTCATCTCTACATTACTCATAATCGGTGCTTTAAGGGTAAAGAAATATTGACAGTACATCTATATACAATAAAATGTTGCAGAAGAATAATGAGAGACATTTAAAATTGTAGACATAAAGTCACTAAATGTTTAGAATTTTTTAATCTAAAATGTTTGTGTAGACAATACAACAGATTTTTCAGAAAATTTATAAAATTTATTTAGCGACTATAAAATTTAATACTAAATATATAAAAATATATAAAAATTAATAATTTTACACATTGTATATATCATATAATGTATATACAAAATCGAAAAATATATTATGCATATTGTTCTTAATTTATTTATTATCTGATATTATTTTATATAAATAATTTTAATGATGATCGGTTTGGATTCGCAGAAAAATACATTTATGATGCTTCCATGGGGGGGTATGGGTAGGCATTGATTATTAAGTATCATAAATATCATAAGAAATATCAATTATGAAAATAGAAAATATACACATTGATGTGTATATTATGATGTGTATATTATTAAATTATGACCTAATGGATTTATATACGCTTGCGTAAATTTATTAATTAATAATAACATATTTATATTTTTTAAGTGAAGTGTCGATTAATTTCAGCTTCAATAAACGCGTTTAAAAAATATTTTGTGATTTGTAAATCTTATTTTATTTTCTAAAAATTAACTTATTACATATTGGTTCTCTCTAAATCTTTTGGAATGGAATCTCACTCTAAAGATTGAAAATTATAAATCAATAATGGATTCATATACCTACGCTTGCGTAAACTTATTAATAATAACTTTTTATATTCCGAATAAAGTCGATTAATTTTAGTTTTGATACAAGCGTTTAAAAAACATTTTGTGATTTGTAAATCTTATTTTATTTTCTAAAAATTAACATATTATACATTGGTTCTTTTTAAATTTTTTGGAATGGAATCTCACTCTAAAGATTGAAAATTATAAATCAATAATGGATTCATATACCTACGCTTGCGTAAACTTATTAATAATAACTTTTTATATTCCGAATAAAGTCGATTAATTTTAATTTTGATACACGCGTTTAAAAAACATTTTGTGATTTATAAATCTTATTTTATTTTTTAAAAATTAACGTATTACACATTGGTTCTTTTTAAATTTTTTGAAGTGGAATCACGCTCTAAAGAGCGAAAATTGAGCTGGTCTTGAAAAAGAGTGGGTCAATTTTCAATCTTTAAAAGCGAAATTTTATTCTTCAAAGTGATAATTCATTTTAAAAATTTTAGAGAATAGGTGTAATATCTAATGATTCCGATATAGGTATTAGTCATTGCATTTTCAAGTACGATGCATATGAACGAACGTTTGAACATACTTACAAATATTATGCAAAGATAACGAAAAAAAGAAGAATTCTTACAGAAGACATTGTCGCAATCGATACGAATACGATTGACGTTAAATTTAGACGATGAGTAAGCGCAAAAAAACACCGTTTAAAAATATACGATACTATTCGATCGGCCCGCTAAATCGGCCAATATGGGTTTTCTTGATCCAGATACGATGATTAATTAGGAAGGAAAGGGAAAGAAGGCTCTTTGTCGAGATATTTCGCGTGCGTTCCGATAGTCAATTAATGTAAGAAGAAAAGGTGCGGTATGTCAAGAGAAGCAAAGAATGGAGAAGATCGATATTCGACCGTTAAAGTTAGGCCGCTTTGAAGACCACTGATCGATAGTTCTCATTAAAGAAAAAAATAAAAGAAGAAACAAATTGGTTTTGCAATATCTTGTGTAGGAAACTCAAGCATAATAAGCAAAAGTTTCGACATTCTAGCAACTATATAAATTATTTCGACACACACAGTCTAATAAAATTATTTTTATATCTGACTCACTTTACGGATGCTTAAGTAAAACTGTTCTTTGTGAAATTAAAAAAATTTTTATTATAAGTTATACTTATCGTTATACTAATAATTAGACATTTGGATTCTTATGCAATTTCATATTTTTTTAGATGCAACTTGGAAAATAACATCAAAATAGAAATTTATCTGAATAAATAGCGTTCTAAAAATGCATATTTATTTGTGCGTATTGTGCATATTTGCATATTTGTGCAAATTTGTATATTTTGTGCATGTCTGCAAAAAATATCTGCCTAAAAATCCGATGTCTACTAATAATGAATGCTTTCCATTTGATGATACAAGTCAACACAAGCATCGTTCTATCCTTCTTGACATTCAGACAGTGACAAAGACGGAACGACACTTATATCTACTTGTGTCATCAAATGGAAGCACCCAATACTTGATTGCGTTTGCACGCGATCGAGGATGCTACTGCGCATTCGTACGCGCGAACAGTAAATTGATTTTGTAAATCTTATCGGACCTGTCACGAGTCTTGGAAGATTTCCTGCTATTGGTGTTAATAAGCCATCGCGTTTCCGCAAAACACGCGCAAAAGTCTCGAGTATTTTATACGAATACGAGAAACGCCAGCGTCACTTAAGTAATTTGTAAGCACTTGTGCATACATCGTTGTGACAAGCCACAATAGCTCTTGTCACAATTACTTTATGAAAAGCGTAAATTACGATACGAGTAAGACATGGTCCTTTCCAAGTCACGCGTATTTACGAAGCACATCTAAAAGATTTGGCTATGCGAAATTGCACATATTTTATTTTTATACCTCAGTCACGATTAACGTGCGACCTTCCTTTACCTCGCACACTTAAACGCAATTTCTTGTGCTTTATAATATTTGCGAAACTTCTCTTCGGAGTTTGTCGAAGTACTTTTTCGTACTATATACATTTATAAACATACATAAAATATCTATACATATATAAATATATAGAATTGTTTTTATTAATTAGACTATAATAATAATAATAGTCATTAATGATAGCTCCATCAAATCAATAATTTAAAATAATTTAGAAATAGCGATCGAATAGTAAGAGCAAAAATTAAATTCTGTACGGATGCGATCGAGCTATCACAGCACTGTAAAACGCTCTCTGAATGATCGGTTACATCACTATCCAAGCTTTCTTGTTTACGCATCACCGTTTACATTCTGTTACCTTTTATCACCGACAATTTAACGTTTGATCGACCGTTCAATTGAAAGAAAAGTAATTGATCTTACTATAATATTGCGTATCGAGCACTATCAATCCGCCAATAACAATAGCGATCCAGAGCGCTAAATGTCCGATCGTAAAAACGGGCGGAAGGTATCGGCAATTCGCGATCATTCGCGTACTCACTTTTCTTCTTCTCTCTTTTCCCTCGGGAATCGATCGCGCAGGTGCACCGTGCGTGCCTACACGGGAAAACGTACGCGGATGCTGCACACGAACGAGAGCGCGGGACGTGACGCGACGTGATGCGACGTGGCGCGGCGAGGCGAGAGACGCGGTAAAAGATCACACGCAGGTCCAGCACGCGCGCGCGTTCCGCTCGCAATAGGAGATGACCAGAAACTGTGCCAAGAACAGTGCCGCGGCGGCCGCGCCAAACCGCGATGTGGCATACACCTACGACGCCGTAACACACCTACATCGGTGCCACGGGTCGGTTGTACCAACACCGCGACGACGACGACGACGACGACGACGACGGGGAGGCCTACGCGGTGCGCTACCGCGATTTACGCGAATACGGCGTGTATCGCGATCGCGAGATGCGGTAGGAGAGCGCGGGGCTCTCGAGAGTGAAGATCTATTGGGTTGGCAAGAAAGTAATTGCGTTTTTTTTTAAAAAGCGTTTATCAGTAAAAATCGCAATTACTTCCTTATCAATCAATATAAATATAGCTTGGAGTAAAGTTTCAGCTTTAAGAATCTCTCTTTTAAATTGCGATACGATAATTTTTAACCGGGGGTTACGAGCAATTAAAGTCAAAATGATCCTTTTATTTAATCCGCGATGACTCAGTAACCAAAAATCGTAGGAATAGTTTTAAAAATACGATTTTGTAGGAAAAGTATCAAGCTTTCACGATAGGTAATCGAAAATTTTCTCAAATTTGTTTTGGGCACGTTACAAACCCAGAAAGTGAGAAGAAAATTTTCCGTCTTTTTCAGCTCGTAATTTCTGTATGTAAAACTTACCAAACTCATATAAACTTAAAAAAATGTGATAAGATTTTAAAAGTAGAGATTTCAAGCTTTAAAATCCTTTTTTTCAATTTAAATTTCATTCATTATTGACGAAGATATTGTATATACAACTTTGAGCTAAAAAAACGCAATTACTTCCTTGCCAACCCAATAGATGTACCAGAGTAGCGCGATCCTTTTATTTCAGCCAAACGCCGACAACTTTCCTATTGGCCATTTTGACCACTATTTTTGTTCTGATTATCTGTCGTCAAATAAGTATATTACAAGTAATTATCCAAGCAGAAGTCATTATGACTCCAAAATGATCATTAAAAGTTCTTCATTAAAAATCATTTCCGATTTATTTTAACGTCATTTTGACATTATCGTAACTTGTTTTGCTTATAAATGGGTTATAAGTAGATATATTATAAGCAATAAATATATAATAAGTAAGCTCGGTAATTCTTTAATATGATATGATTGTTAAGTCAAACATGACCCTTGCACTACTCTGGTACATACTCGACAGAACGCTTTTTTATACGAATCGCTCTCCACGCGAGACTTTATCTCCGGCTCCGAGGAACGTGGCTGGAGCCGCTTGTGACAGGCCGAGGGTAAACTTTGCCGCTCATCCGATCCTCTGTACGAAGACTGCACGAAGTCGCACGTCTCGCTCCCCCGGGAAAGTCTCGGCGTCCGCGACTTTCCACGAGCTACATCTCTGTCAAACTCCTTCGACACGGTCGTTAACTCCGAGGAGCTGAGCGGCGACGAATTAATGAAATTTCACGTAACTTTCCTATAGATCTAAAAAAGTATGTTTTACTTGACGTTTCGTTCAATTTTCCTGATGAGAAATCATGCCCGTTTTAAAATTTTCTGCGCTGAAAACTTATAATACCGCTATGAAAATACTATGAGAGACTCGCAATATTCTAAGACGTAGTTGCAAGGTCAAGAGTGGAACGTTTCTGCGTTATTAGGCATATAACTGAATTATAAGGACATACAGAGTAAAATTGCTTTATGAAAAACGAAAAATTATGATACGAGCGCGATACGTCCTTTCCAATCTATCTGTAAATGTGTATCGCGATTTACAGAGAATGACGTGTATAATTACGTATATCGTTGTTACGCCACAATGTAATTTTCCGCGATAGCTTCTAGAAGAAAGAATCCAAGACGGAGTCGACGTGCTTCACTAACGTGCTTGTTAGTTTGCGCACGTTGCGTGACCTCGAGATAACACCGCGATGAACCGAATGACATTGCCGTTGTATTTGCGCACGTAGGTAATGAATGGTTTTACACGGTGGATGGCTATTCCATATCAATTGAGAAACGAACGTTTACTGCGGCAATTCCGAGTAATTAAACTTTCCTCATTTTTTGTATATATTGAGTCATCTAAAAAGTATCCGCGGTTTTTGTCATTAGATGGTCAATATATATATATATGTGTGTGTGTGTGTGTGTGTGTGTGTGTGTGTGTGTGTGTGTGTTGTACTTTTATGTACATATATATGTACATATAAATATATTTACATTATGAATTAAACATAATTAAAAAGTATATCACTTATATACATAATATATACATTATACAATTATTATTACAATATAATTTAGTATATTAGAATAAAAGATATGTCTATTGTAAAAATAAAACTGCATTTGCAATGTTTATACTAGAATGGAAAATAACAATTGCAATAACTGGATTTAGTAAAGTTTAGTACAATAGTTAAGTACAGCCAATTTGTTCTCCATCATATTTTGTAATTATCGTAATTTTTGAGAATTATAATCCGCTCGCGTCAACTTTGCAAAATATTGTAAAAATGTACGCCTTAGTTATGATGGCATTTTAAAAAAATATACAAACATACTGCAAGTAAGTTTAAACAATTTTAAAATTTTATTTTTGTAAATGTTAATATAAAATAGTATTAAAAAATTAAAAAATTTTATTTTTTAGAAAGCATCTTTGAGAAATGTTGAAAAAATGGCAAGTTTGGAATTGAAGGGATGGATGGAATAAAGCCTAATTACAAAATCTTGATATTAATAAAAATTAAAATACAATTTGCTGCTTTTTTTATTATACATAAATGAATACAATATTAAATGAATTTATGTAATGTCTTTAAGAAGTACATGTTATGAATCATCTCTATTACGATCAATATTACATGAAAAAGGTAATTACCGGAAAAAGGTCTAAGTAAAATTGTGCTATTCCGCCTATCCCCTCAATTGTAATTGCAATTAATAATCCATATGGATAATTTCATTCAAAAATAAAGTTAATATTATATAAAATATAAAAAAGCATAATTTTAAAAAGTGTGTCTTTGATAAAAATGAAAAGAATAACAAATTAAAGATTATGATTATAATTAATAGTGCATTTATCTCGTTCAAGATGCTCTTGAAATGCAGAAGTGTTAAACCAGTTGCAGGGTTTCAGGCATACGTTGCCTTACCTTTGCTGTACAAATGTTAAGAATATGTTTTTCTTATTTCTTCTTTTTTATAAGATTCTTATTGTCTTATTTATTTTCATAATTAATAAAATTCTTTATTTTTAATTTTAATCTAAACTTTGAAAATCTTCAAAATTTAAATTTTAATGCTCTGTTCTCAGCGTGATTTACATTAGGATAAAGAAAATAAAACATCGGAATTTTACATGTCCATTGATGGCAGGCAAATGCGCAGTTGTTCTGTCTACTTAACCTATTGGGTTAAGTAGACTACATTATAAACAAAAATATTTGTCTAATCAAAAAAGTTCAAAATTAAAAAGTTTAAATCGAGAATGATTTTAAGGGCGGAAGATAAATTCGAAGTTAAATTGATTTTAAAGTTTTGGTTACGCGATGTTTGGCTTGCCTCTTGAACTGCAAATATTAATCGTAAATGTCTTAGGCCTGGTAAATATCTCAATCTTAATAGCATACATGATTAGTAACAGTATTTTATAGGATTTAAATAAAACTTCAAGGTTTAAATTCTTTTAGAATACTTTTAGAATTGTAAATCGTAAAGGTTAATTTCAACAAGCACACATTTCAATTATATATAATATGTATTATAATGTGTGTGTGTTGCATATTTATGAGTTACACAATTATACACTTTTACGTATAAATATTGATGATTTAAATTGCTATTTATAATTATTATAATTATGATATATAATATATAATCTCTCTCCCTCTCTCTCTTATTATAATTATGTTGCAATATTTTGATAGTTATGTTTTATTTTAATTATTTTATTTAGCAATTTAAATAATTTTTTTTAAATCAACCTTGACTTTCAATTTTAACTTTCAAGAATTTTAAATTTCAAGAATTTGAAATTTACGCATTAATATTATATACTACTCGAATTAAGTGTGTTACATTATTTATCAAGGCTAGCACCACTTTAAACTGGAACTGGTTCAAGTGGGACCAGCAGCTAGAGAAGATCTCGAATGTCTCAGTTTCACAACCCGACAAATTGGATGTAGAGAATATCGACTGGCTTAAGACGAGTTAGCACTTCGTCTTGTATACTTGCCATAAAAAGATACAATTCTTATTGTATCTGCTGGTATAATCTAAAAATATTCCTGTCATAGAAATAAGAGCTAAGGATGAAAAATTTCTTCAGTTCTATCATGGATCGTCGTCACACGATTTATCATCGATCGCATCTTGCTCTTCGCATACGTGGCTAATATTTACACAGTAGTGACGCGAAGCCGGCAGAATTTGCTCATACTTTGGATGGTACTCAGTTTTCTTAAAGATATTATTTTGGAAGTCGTCGTGATCGTCATTACTTGCCTGCTATGGCATGCTACGAAGGAAAGCTTCCCGACGTCGCTCTTTGTTGAGTTTATTGTAGATAAAATAATAAGTCTGAGTGGTAATAATAATAATAATAATAATAATAATAATAATAATAATTAGTAAATAGAATGGAATTGATAATAAGAGATACATAGATGTAGTGCAAATACATTCTCTAAGTTTCTTGAGGAGTGGAATCTCACTCTAAAGAACAAAAATTGAACCAATCTTGGAAAAGAGTGACTCAATTTTCAATCCATAAGAGGAAATTTCACTCTTCAGAATGAGATTTAATCTAAAAGTTTTAGAGAATAGATGATGAAATTACAAGTTCCTTTTTCTCTGTGAAAACCTTAATTATTCCAGTTATCTCGATCAGCAAATGGTGCACGACCCTCAAATGGTATATGCAGCTACGAAGGCTAGCGAAATTCCGCAGATTTACAATAATAGCGCGGAGAAGTATCGGGAGTATCGCTAATGTTCCCGGCAGAGTTGGTCATTCTCTGGATGATGAGTGTCTTGGTATAGCAATAATTAGACGAGGCAAGTATGCGAGTCTGTTAAATCTGGACAGGCACTCTGAAGAATCTTTCAATAGAATGAACGCGAAATCCTTGACGACCTTATTCAGTGACGACACGAGTAGCACGAATGGCACGAATGGCACGAATGGCACGAATGGCACGAATGGCGCGAATGGCGCGAATGGCACGAACGATTACAATTCCGATTATTTGAGCGTGGCTGAAAAATCAATGAGGATGCTGAATGTAACCGCGGAAGATGTGATGGATGCGCGTGCCAGGATACAAGAGCGATCTTACTGGAACGAGCAAGACTCAATTGCGCAAACACCTGTGATAAAAGAAGTAATAAAGCAACTTTCTTTGGAAAAGAACAAAGAAGAAATAATCAATGCAGAAAGAAATACACAGCTAACGGAGGATAATTTAGCAAAAATTGTGAATAGTACCTTGAAAAAAGAAGACGGTATAGAATATATTCCAGTGAAAAAAAAAGAAGAAAAAAGTAATGAAGAAACTATTCTAGTTGAAGAACAGATTTTGAACGAAAATCAGAAAAATGTTTCATTAAAAAGCGAAAACGTCACATCTGACGAAGTAGATCACGCGAAATCAACGGAATCTTATGATATTTATGTCATATCGAAGAAGAAAAGGAAAGAGAAAAAAGAAGGAGTTGATAAGATCGTGCAGTGTCCTTCGTTCCAGAGTATGAATGCAAGAAATACAGAGGCTAAGCCATGTGCCTCCCTCGTAAGAAAATTAGAAGCGAAGTTCTGTCCCGTTTCTGTGAATCGACAGAAATGGATCGATAAAGTCAATCGTAAAGGGTACCTTTATGAAGTCAACACACAATCAACACCAACTAGTTCAAGTAAAAAAGAACGTTACAAGATTCTGAAAATCTCATGCGGGTGCCATCGTGCTTTGCGTAACAGTTCGAAAAATGGAAATCACGTGCGATCAATCGATATCAATGATAAAAACGTTGAATTTGATATTAATAGAAAAGAATTCGAATCTTTTAAGCCTATCGTCAATATGCAGAGAAGCAGGATTGACAAATCCGCGTTTAAATATTCAGAAGCATACCGTTTAAAGAAACAAATTCAGAAATGGGAAGAATCTTACGGTAAGCACTCCTGGGAAAATAAGTCTTTAGCCGAAACTGCACGTTCCTCGGGATATGCAAAAAAGGTCTTTGATGCATCCGATAAGTTGTCTGTTGTAAATTGTCGAAAGAGCGTTCAGACTGAAACTTATGATGAGTCGATGATGATGAGCGATTCTTTGAGTGAACGACACAGATTGAAATACAAACAGAAACGAAGTAGACGACCGGTCAATTTGCGTTCCGTTCACAATGTGGCATCATTTAGAGAAAAGAATTATTTGGAGGCATGTGAAATGAATATGAAAGCTTTAGAAACCAATAATAATTTTACGTTGGAAAATAAAAGAGAAACGAAAGCGAGAAAAAGGCGAGATCTGTTGCCGAATCGGAAATTATCGATCGAACAACGCGAAGCGATAGAGTTGAAAGCTTTAAAAGCTTATAACGAGCTTACCTTGTCAGAGGATAAGAGAGAATTGGAAATAAGAAAGGACCGAGATTCATCGTTGAATTACGGACGATTGATGAAGGAATCCGAAGTACCAGAGATGAAAGTTTTAAAAACTTATAATGATTCCTTATTGGAAGATAAAAAGGAGATGGAGAGAACGAGAAGATATAATTTGTCGCCAAGTTTTCAGCAATCGATTGATGAACGAAGTACCTCGAGAGTTCGTAACGAACTCGAACGATCGGGAAGCAAGAGAGAGCTGCAAACTAGGAGAAAACGCGATTCATCGAGAGATGAAACGCTATCGGAATGTGAAAAAGTTGTCGAGACTCCAGCGAGCGTCTCTAATGATCTTTCAATAAGTAGTTGTGAGAGTACCATGATCTCCACACATCAGAACATACACAACAATTTTGGTCCAAACGATCGTTACGCAAGACAGGCGCGTATGCCGCTGAATCTCTGGGAGGTTACGAGAAACATCGAATGGACTGTTCATCCGCGGGGTATTATACTCATCAATAAGAATCTACAAAGTCAATTCTTAAAGAATGAGAGATTTTGCGAAAGCCAACAACGCGATATCGTTGATGACAACACTGCCAGCACGTTGCACAGCGCTTTCTTCTTTAAACCTGAAATCATAACGCGAATCTTTCGTCGCGCTCACAACCAGATGAGGATCGACGAGTTCTCGAGGTTTCCGACGTTCCTGCGGCAAGACTTCGACACGGAGTTTGTATGTCAAATGAACAACGAGGTGGTCGTGCGCCATTGGAACTCGTCGTTCGACTGCGATCTCGAACGGTTGATGGGAAACGATCGGAACAATCTTGAAGAGCAATTCAATGCTAATGACAATCGCAATACCACAAGCGAGCATGATCACGATATGTGTATAATAGTTATTGATCAGGAACAGATTTCCAACGAATCGCAAACTGCGACAGAAGATTCGATGACCGTCGAAATACAGGAAAACACGCGTTCGAGCATTGGAAGTATTCAAATGACGAATATTTTGATATTCAATGAAAATCATAATTGCGTAGATAATGCAACCAACGATAATTTGCCAGTTCAATTGATCACAGATGCATTAAGAAATTTCAATATCGAGACAGAAGGTAATATACGCGATATTGCATTGCCGATCGAAGAGTGCGAAGATGTAAGTAATGTGAATGAATGTAATAATTCTCAATCTCGAGAACTTAAGGCGGATATAGATTTCAACGAAGAAAACAATAACGAGTGTGACAGAATTTCTTCGCATAAAAATGCAGATGTTGACGATACAATTCATAAAATTGAACAACTATTGGATTCAAACGATAATTGTCTAGATAACGTAAATGTTACATCGTATGCTAATTCGTCAGAAAAATTAGATAATTCGAGAGATGAAAAATATTTAAGTACAATCGATATTTATTCTGAAAGCAAGATGTGCGAGAATAATTTATCTCTCAAAAATACTGGTAACAATACATCACAATTATCTGATAATAATAATAATAAACAGTTTAACACGTTGGATAATGAAGCTAAGAAAAGTACGTTTCATATTTGTAAAAATTTTTCGAAATTATCTTCCCCCAGTTCATCGTCACTTATTAAATCAGATAATTGTCATGCAGTAAGAGCGAGTGATGAAAAATTACAAAAATTAATCCAACTTTCAGATAGCGTAACTACGTTAAATGATCAAAGAAAAGAATCGAATTTAAAAGATTATACAATTCCACAACTTTATGATAGAATTCCACAATGTCGAAATGTCGAAATTTTAAAATTGGAGACCATAATACCAGATACAAGCACAAGAAATCGGAACAAAAATAGAGACGAAGAAGCAAATGAATTTTTGGCAGAAAAAATTTTTAAGATGCATTCAGACAATGAGCTTCAGCTAGAAGATAGTTTTTATGATAAAAATAATGATCCAGGAGCACCGGTTTCATTTGACGACGGTAGTTTGATGGAGGAATTTTTGAACGATCCCATACCACCTTTAAACTCTTCTTAAGGGAGAAATTCGATATTTTCAACAACATATTCTCAATAATAAAAATACGCGTTGTTAACTTATAACATAGATATTTAGAAATTCATGAATGAATTTTATTGATGAATCTCTTGGTAATCTTTAATCTTAAAGTAACCATATATTGTGAAAACAGGCCTTAGTCTTTAAATAACATTTTGTGTATAGTCATCATGTAAAGTCATCTAAAAATTAATTAATCCGTATAACACATGAGAAAGATAAGTGGTCGTGGTTAATTATCAATTTTCATTATTAAAATACATGCTTTATTAACTATAGTCATGAAGTAATACATGCTTTATTAAACAATCATAAAGTAATCTTTTATGAATACAATAAAGAGATATTACAATAAAAAGTCTGGATTGACAAATTTACAGTTACGAAACGTCATTATCATCACTATAGGAAAAAATATACATTTTTACTTTCTGACATAAAGTAATAAATGCTTGCAGTTGGTCGATCGATCTTGACATTTCTTTTTCATGTACACATAAGATAATATATGAGCAGTTACAATAAATTAAAGGAATGTGTTACATACGATAGCAATATATTTTATTTCTATCAGATATAATAATTTTATATATCTAGTAAAAGTTTTATACAAATGTTTTACATATGTACAAAATATAATTATGCTAAAAATTTTACATGTAATTGTCTAATCATTGGTAACTTGGAAGTCTGCACTGTTTACAGTAGTATAAATATTTAAATAACGTACTTGTGCTAAACAATGCATGTCAAATGTCGTACAAAGACATGTACGTTAGATCGTTCAATTTATCATCATTTACGATAGATAATGCACGAATACAATAAATAAACGGAATAACTTAAGAAAAGAAGGTGTATGATGTTCAATGCTGAAAATTTCAATGCTTAGACTTTAAAGTGACAGTGGAGTCAGATTAGAGTTTCAAAAAGACAGTCGAAAATTAATTTAATTTGAGATGTGAAAAGAATTTTTAACAAGTATCGTCGAGGCCCGGATCTGAATCAGGAACTACGTAATTAGGATCGCAGACCGTATCCCTGACAGCTTCTTTAACGTTTGCCTTAAATACTCTGTAATTAATATTTGCGCTATTTAGTGTCCCGTATAAATACATCGGTAACCGGTTCGAAAGAAGCCACACATTTTGATCTGATTCGTGGTCCACTCTAATGTCGTTTGGAAATACTAGGGACTCGTTGCTAGTACCAATCACGCCTAGATTCTGCGGTATATATTCCTTTCTGGTATCCCAACACCACACGGAGTCCCGGGTGGCCATGTTGAAGAACATGACGCCGTTCTTATCGATAACGGATCCCGAAGAATGACCGTAGTCCTTGGCTCTAGGTTTTCCTACGGGCATGAATTTCTCCGTGTTAGAATCCGCGGTTCGCATATCCCTGAAGACCGACGTAGATACGGCGAACTCTCGGAAACTAGACATCGGATGAAAAAACAGTGTTCTGTCGTTATGAATGTCCACGGGACTAAGCGCCATTCCGAATATTCCGTCGGTCCATTGGAATTTTATACTGTGCAACTCGTATCTTGACGCCAGAGGATCAGGATAGAAGAAGTGATGCTCGACTCTGAAGGCGGAATCTTTAAAGAAGTCGTACACCACGATACCATATCGCCAGACGTCAGCTAAGTATGCTACTGCAGAGCCGCAATCATTATTTCTGATATCCACCACGATGTTGATGTACAGAGAGTCTTGTTTAATCTGTTCATCCGGCAAGGTATATTTTCTGATGAGAATATCGGTGCGTAGATCAAAGATGAATATGGCGGGCGGGCAAACTTGTTTGGATCTTTTGGCGAACTCTGTTTTGCCAGAGTCGAGAACCCACAGACGATTGCACTCGTCCACTTGAACTCGAAAGACTGATGTTAAGCTCTCGCAGTTGTCTGGAAAGAGAGAGAATGAGCAACATTTGGTTATTATGGATTTGCAGATAAATTTTAAATAAATTTTTAGCAGAACATTTTTTTTTAGAAGAACAATATAGTTCTTCAAAATTGCTTTAAAATTTCTTTTCTCTTTAGTTTGTTAACTTATTCTTATCTCTCCCATGATAAGTTATAAATTAAATAACTCTTAATGGTTCATGCTTTTGTTTCGTTAAGAAATGAAAGGCAAGTTTGTTTGTTATTCGTGAGAAACTCATTTACTCAGTTTCCGCACTTTCTTGATTGCATGAAAAATGCTGTTTCTTATATTCTTATAGACTCTTCGCGTAAGTTTAATGTTATATAATTCGTAATCCGTTCTCGCAGAATTTTTCTGCACGCGAATCACTTTCCACATCATAATTTAAATTAAAACTGTTTTTAGATTACAGCATTTTTCTTAAATTTTTCAACTATATTTTGGGCAGTCTATTTTCATACACGTTAAATTTAAATTTACAATATAAAGCACAATAAATTCTCTTTTCGGTATTTTTCTCTAGTATTAAAATATTTATTCATTATGAGTTTTCTTGCATTAAAAAAAATATTAACTTTAAAAGTATCTAAAAATTAAAATAATTACTATTGCATGATAATTACTTAGGAATTTTTATACAAGAATAACAGTCTAAAAAAGAATAGAATCTGATAATTAGCATAAAGATAACCTGGCTCATGCCACTGCCAATTAGGATACGGTTTTAATTTGGGGCTCCTCGTTTTGGAATGTCTGGGCACGGTAGCCAGAGTCACCGGTATGCCTGTTTTCCATTTTGGCAGAGTAATGAATACTTTATCGCGCCAGACTTCCAGGCCCAGGGGCAAGTTATTCTCTGCGATATAGTCGCCCTCGAATATAGCCTTGTCTCGTGCGTCGATATTGTCGAATTCAAAATCAATCGTGGGCCAAGCGTACACCTATTAAAAAATTGTCAACTATAAATACGAAGCTTGTTGAAAAATTTACAGTACCTATATCAGCCATCTTGAATTGTAATTACGTGTGAATAATTTTTTGTCAAAGAAAATTTCAATTCTATAAGATAATCCTGTAAAATGATCTGTAACTTTTTTTATTGATCTGATATATCACATAGATCTACAATAATCGACTTATTTAAATGCAGCAAAAACGTGTTACTTTTTAATTATCAACAAGATTACTGACAAGTAACAACCCAGTTATTGCGAAATCTTTTGAATCGCTTTCGTCTAAATTTGCAACAAAGAAACACCACGTACTAGTTCCATAGCGGGACCAACGTAGTCGTTTATAATGCGTCCTGGCTCGAAACCGTCGCCGAAATCATGGAAATCTAATTGATTGACCGAGTGAGGATCCGCACGGAACATATTGATGGTTCTTCCAATGGACCTGGAAGGATTGCTTTTTCCCAGATTGGATGTAGCAATGTGGTATCGTGATTGCGGCGTTGACCCGTAAAGATTGCCTACGTTCGTAGAATCCGTTGATTTTTCCTTCGGCGGATGATTATCGCAATTTCGCGATGTGCCGGCGTGTTCATCATAAGTCAATGCAGAATCTTTGTAGTTGATGTTCTAACAAAACGCGATGAAATTTCACGAATTGCATTACTACTTTTAATCAAAGAATTCGAAATAAATGTAAATGGCTTAGATCTTTAATTGTAAATAAGACAGATATTATTACATGTGTACATTTTTTAACACAATTTTTAAAATAAATATTTCGGATCAAAAATTTGAAGAAAAAATTAGAAATAATTTTATATAATTAATTCATAATTAATTAAATAAATTGTAAATTGACTCAATAATTTATAATTGCAAATAAAATTGTTTATGTTGTTTCTTACGTGCGAAAAAAATTGTGGAGTGGAAAAGGATGAAGTTAACGGCAACGAAGGTGCTTGAAGGTTCCTGGATAAAATACTGGGACCCGTGTAAGCTGTTAATTTTGGGACAGCCAGTAGCGACATTGACAGCAACCATGGAATCGTGCTCGCCATATCTGTGAAGCAAAATTTAAAGTCTCCTGTGTGATAAAATTTGCATTTTCATGACACGAAATTGCATCAAATTATTTATTACGTCTTGATAATCCTATTACATCGTTATAACTGTTATTACGAGTCAATAAGAATTATAAGATTAAATGAAATTGAACGAAAGGAGTACTGATGTTCCCAATACGATTAGAAATTCAGTGAGATCTTCGCGAAGTCTTCACACATCCGATGACTCGGTAATGATTATCTCCTTTATTGAGGTAAGTAGGTTCCTGCGTTCGCGAGGCAATATTATCAATACACTGAATATAGAATGAGGAACTTCATAATAGCACTCGCTCGGGACTTGTCGGGACTCTGAGTGCATTATATCGAGGTAATCCCCACTTCACTACCAAAGCGAAAATCCAGGATCGTTGCGATATCATTTCATCTAGCTTCAGTATGTCCTTTAAGACCTCATTGTTAAAAATTTCATGAAATTTAATGTACTTTTAAGTTACGCAATTTGAATTTAATTTCATGATATTACATTAAATTTAATGTAATTTAGAACTGAAAAATAGATTTATATGTATATGTGAAATTTAATGTATTTTTCATGAATCTTTATGAAATTTAATGTACTTTTTATAAAATTTTATAAAATTTAATGTATACGTTCATTATATTTAAGTAACTATTGTAACTTAGATTTCAGTTAAATCATTTATTATTTTTTTTTCGTTTATAACCACGAGCTTCATTTACATGTAAAGGAAACATTTCTAACAAGGTGTGTTCGGTACAATTTATAAAACTGTAAAATGTATTTAAGATTTAAATATATAATATTATATATTATATATGTATATGTATAGAATAATATTATATATGTATACGTGTATTGATAGGTTTAAATATATAATAATATTATATATTTTAATCTTAAATACATTTTACGTAAGTCTGCACGAACACATCGCGATTTGAGAAGTAGCTACTACGTTACTGCATTGTTATCTCCACTTTACGTACGAGCGCGTACG